ATCCTTAAGAGACTAATTACGGTCTAATTAGGGCGTATGGCACAACAAAATGGCGGAGTCGAGGCGGCTTCGAGTCGCGCGCGGTAGCGCTAGATGCGCCATCACCTCGACTCCGCCGCCATTTTGTTATTCCTTTTTCGGGCGTTTACAAAGAAATGAGTAAAAGAAAAAACAATCGCCCGCGCCTCGACTTTGGCTGTGTGCTATGCGCCTCCGTAGACTTTTTAAATATCGATATTTTATACATACTGAGCTGTCAAACAAGAAATTACAGATTCTAGTTTATAATTTTGGTCCAAAATAAAACATTGTACATTCCTCAAAGTCTACATTTAAAGACTTTTATTTTCTATAGGCGGCATCACTTCTGGGAGAATAGTCATTTAATTTTTTAAATACCTACTTTTGTTTGTGAAATCCTATTAAAACTAATTATATTGAAGGTTTTTTTTTTCAGATTGAAGATGGAAATCGAATTTGTAGACCTTGCTTTCAAAGAGCACTGCGCTACAGTTAGCGTCGTCTGAGGCAAGAGGTACCAGCAGTTGTAGGAGCTGAACCGGTAGTAGAAGTTGAACCAGCAGTGGTAGCTGAACCAGCAGTGGGAGCTGAACCAGAAGTAAATGAAAATGTGGAACATGCTCTACCCGCTCAAAATGTTTTGAGATTTCCTGTGCCAGGATTCACTAGAGCGCCTTTTAACACAAGGTTGTGTATTTTTCAAAATTGTAACGGCCTACAACTAACCAGAATTAATAATATTCTGAGATCCACGACTTTGCGAGATAAAAGTTTTTATATACCATTCGGCGCAAGAGTCTGTGAAGTACACCGTTTTGATCCTGCATGGAATGACATACCAGCTATTGTGCGCCATGTGTATGCCTTGTTTTCACCTCGCCAAGTAAGCGATATGTTACGCCTCTTGCAAAGAAGGAAGATATTTTTCAATTTTGAAAGACTCATCAATACCTGACGATATTTTTCAATATTATATTGGATTTTCTAAGGCCCATTTTACCCAAGTCTTGGAGAGTACTCCAACTATTACAAGGGATCATCCAAAAGCAGCTACAGCTTTAGCTACTCTTTTAGTTAAGCTACATACAGGAGAACAAAACCAGAGATTATGCAGTATATATAAAATGGCACGATCAACGTTTGAAGAAAAAATGAATAGCGTTATAAACGCTTTGATGGATGAATTTGTGCCAAGATATATGGGATATAATCATTTTACTAGAGAAGAAGTTATATCGCGATGCCTGGCTATACCCAATACTTTGTTCGGTGGCCGAGATGAAGAGGAACGAGCCATTACCATCCACGATGGCACCTATATACCTGCAAAGAAGTACAAATTATTATTTTCAGAGAAAGTCTTACAGTCTGCATAAATGGCGGCAACTGTACAAATCCTATCTAATGGTCTGTCCTGACGGCCACATCATAGACATATACGGCCCTTATGAAGCTACAACCTCAGACGCTACAATTTTAAATACTGTGCTTGTAAATCGTCAAGATCCGTTGAATTTGTTCTATAGACCTAATGACATGTTTATTTTGGATCGGGGTTTTAGAGATGCCGTTGGTCGGCTCGAATCTGCTGGTTCCAATGTACAGATGCCAATATTGAGCACTAGAGGAACCCAGTTAAGCACAGAACAAGCGAATGAGTCAAGAAAAGTGACAATGTGTCGCTGGGTCGTAGAAACCATTAACGGTCGTCTTAAAAATCAGTTTAAACTACTAAGGAACGTAGTAAATAATAGAGCCCTTGGACATTTATTTAAGGAAATTAAAATAGCAGGGGCTCTGCTCAATGCCTTTGGGCGTCCGTTGACGGATCACAGGTTAGTGGCAGACATTCTTCAACAAATAACAAGAACAGCAAATATTGAAAATTATTTGGCAGCATACGTCATAGAGAATAATCTCAACGCTGTAAGAGCGTATTTCCAAGCTATTACAGCTGGAGATCTAGCCGTAAACGATTTTCCCCTGTTGAGTCTGGACGACCTCATCGTTTTTGCAATGGGAACCTATCAATTGAAACAGGCCCGCAGTTACCATGGAGAACACATAAAAATAAATGGGTTTTACAGGATTGAAGTGTGAAGGGAACAACATCTACATGATCTGAGACGATATAATATTATGGCATCTAACTCATGGCTATTGAGAGGACGAATCCAGTCACGCCACAGACAAGCTAAAACTTATTACACTTAAGTTTTAATAGAAGATGGTATGCAAGGCATACAAGCGATACACGCTCATTACTGCAGCTGCGTCGTGGGTAAACGCACTCTGGGGTGTTGTTCACATACCAAGTCAATTATATGGTATTTAGGGTACGGAAGACATCAAGAAAATCTAACCCCATCCGCTATTTTACTAGATGATATAATAATTCGACACGATGTTGAAAACGAAGCCGATGAATATCCTGGTCGTTGTCTCGAACGCGTGCTTGAATCGCAACCATTCAATAGGATCACCTGAGAAGATGGGCAAATCTCTGGCAGATATTCGGCTCAACATTTTATCCCCTGATGACACTCCGTGCGCAGCCGAAGATGACATTTTTATTGCGTCGGTGATAGCTTGCGTTAAGTTCTGTATGTCACTACGTTGGTCATGTCTCCCTATTAAATCATTAGCAGGAGCAGTAGTCTGAACTGGAACGCTGCAATCAATCCACTTCTGTACCTTTGATAGCGATGTCGAAGCGACTTGATGGTCACCCTCGTCATGGTCACTGTCCTCGTCGTTAACCACCTCAAGCCTCGCAATTTCCTCGGCCAACCTTGCTTCGATTAGAGAACGTTCAGCAGATAATCTCTCATCTTCTAGTTGTCGCAAACGTTCAATTCTTTCTTCTCAAGTTCGGCTAGTTCCCTTGCGGCGCGCGCTTCTGCTAATCGTTTCAGAGACGCTGCACTACTTTTTGAAACAATTGTACGGACCGACCTTAGAGTTTGGGTTTTCGACGATTTTTCGAATTTTTTGTCGGTTGTCTGAATATCTTGGGTTTTCTTTAATCTTTCACTTCTCCGCAAGATATTTTGATCCATTTCTCGGCGAAACGAAGGACCACAACAATGTTGATAATTAAAATAATAAAATAATCTTTTACTTTCTCAATTAATCATATATTTTCTTTGTCCATCAACTATCAATGTCATAACATAACAAACCATAAATAAAGAAATATAAGTATCAAAAGGAGTTCTTAACAGTTTTTATAACTAGTTTATATATCTATATAAGTAATCATGCAACCAATGTGCGCACACCTAAATCGGCTACAGTATTTAAGTATATAGAGGGGACCCTGTTGCCTGTAATACAGGTTATCCTACCACTGGCAACAGAAGTCACCTTTAACAATATTTAAGCTCCAATGTGCCTCTTGTCACCAATTTTTGTATTATTAATTTAAAATATTGTAACTTGCTTTAAGTCAATAAACGTTTATTATTATTATTATTGCATAGTTACATAAAAATTGTAAGCGTGTGTGCGTTGTTTTGTTTGTGTGATAATTTTTGAAGTGTGCGTTTATAGCAACAACACGCTCGTGTTTGTAGGAGCAATGCATATTTTCATTAATGTGCTATAAGTGTGTATCTTGTCCCACACCAAAAATGGTCAAAAATTTTGTTCGGCGAGTGAACGGTATGGCATCTCCATTGGTATATGCTCTAAGACCCAGTGATCACTACCAGACAGCCAACTAGGCTTTCTCAGACAACGTTCAACTCTCAGTAATTTGACATGTTTCTCAAATTATGTTGTAACAAAAGGCAGGGGAGATTGACGTGATCTACACGGACTTCGAAAAAGCATTTGACCGTGTGGATCACTTCATTCCTATTAATTAACTTTAAATACTGTGTATACATGGTGATTTGCTTAGGTGGACTGCTTCCAGGCAGTTGTTGTGAGGGTTACAGGTCTGATTTTATTGATATGTCCACGGGCATTCCTTAACGTTCGCATTTAGGTTCATTACTATAATACAATGTCTATACATCAGATTTAATCTCCTGCTTTAAATCGACACGTCACTTACTAGAAAAAAGTCAGACATGTAATCTATCCTTATAAATTAAATGTCAAGCCTATCTGTAGAACTTCATCAGTTAGGGACTTGGGTGTGCTTTCTGACAATCTCAGGGATCACATACCTACACAGTATAGCTAATAAACTTTAAAACCTGGGATTTGTCTGACGTACCCTAAAAAGTTATGATTTTACCACCCTCTTCATTTTAAAATTATCAGAGTGCATCTCTATAGACTACAAGTCCCAAATCATCTTTTTAAATACTTGACTAATTCTAAGGCCTTTATTAACTTCCCGAGATAAAATAGTTTGCTTTCTGACAGCATTTCTTTTCTTTACTGCTTTGATCGCCTTTTTCGTACGAACACTAGAAATCTTTTTCTGTCAGAAACAAAGGTGGTTTCATAATACCATTAATAGTCCGATACATATAAATACTAAAATAAATGCAAGAAATAAAACGCTGTTTTATTTTAAATCATATTTCTCTAATTTTCTTCCGATTATTGTTATAAAATTACCACTGGTAATATATAGGGACAGTTCTTTGGCTTTTAAAATAATTAATAGTAAAAAAAACAGATACGATCATCGCACATTAAAAAAGAGAATAATGTAAAAAAATATTTCGTACAATTAGTTCTTAACTCAACTTATGACTACCACTAATAAAATGTTACACTTAAAAAATAATAATAATGTAGATAGGAATTTGAGTTGAGTCGATCGTTAAACTTATAAAAATACTAGAAATAGTTCTTTTTTTTTTCAATCCAACTTCTAGAAAAGGTAAACAATCTTAGTGTATACTTAATAAGTAATTGAAGTTATCCTTTTATATAATGTAATAGCGTTTTGCTAAATGACTTTGATAAAGTAAACAATAAAAGCAAGTTACGCATTTAAAAGATTTATAAAAACGAATGTTTGACTTTTGTACAAATTAGATTGAAAGACCTATAGATGTACACAATTATAGTGAGTGATTTTGTTTACGGGTCAACGAAAGAAATCATGATGTAGCGAGTGCCCTTGGTGACCTTCAGTCCTTCGTGATAGTGTGTCAGGCGGCCGGGGTGCATCAACAACCAGCCACGTTTGGTGTTTTGTACCGAACAGTTGTACCGTATGAAACGACAACCGCCCCCTTCGTAATCGACATCTGAAAAAAAAAACAAGCGAGCCTTACAGTAGTCGCGTATGATGTGTAACATTTGAAACCTCACCTTATCCAATCAAAATTTAGGTGAACATTTATTATTTCTGAGATAAAGATTTAATGGTGGTGTGGATTCTGGCATGGTTCTCTAGACCTGAACTTTGGTTTTGCAGCGGTGTATCCTTATCATTCTCTATACAGAGTGAAGGGGGGGGCACTGATGTTGGGTTTGGTTATGGGTTTGGAGAGTAGTGGCAGAGTCAACACTAGTGTTTAGGTAATCATGTATCCTACAGTTGTGTTTATAGTTTTTTATATAATGTACACTGGTACTTAATTTTTTTTCCCTATTTTGCAATCTAGTATCCATATGTGGTTATGAGTAGTCATGCTCTCTTAAAAATCTCTTCGGCGGTGTCGTGTGAGGCGGGTCGTTACGTTCCCTAAAAAATGGTTAAGCGAAGCGATGGCTGGTTCATGCGTCATGCTCGTGAACAGGTGCTGCCAGCGGAGATGAGTCTGCTATTGCTACATTGGGTACTATTAATCGTTGTATTTAACTTTAATCGTACATTTGTTTTTATGCCTAAACAGTAGGACGCGGCATTCCTAAACTTTTTTTTTGAAATCTTTTTTTTATATTTTTTATTTTATAATCTTAATTGTGTATATATCTTAATTGTTTTATCATTTACATTTGTAATGGAAAGTGACTTCATGAGTTATCTCATATTGAAGTCATTTTTCAAATTGACGACTCTGTATATCATACAGGGAGAAAAAACAGCCCTTGCTAAGTTTCTTGCCGGTTCTTCTCAGTACAAGCTCTCCCGCCGTAGATTTGCGATCCGATGGCGTAGCTTTTCGACATTAACAAGTTCTTGTAACAGCCTAGACTGAATAAACGATATTGAATTTAAAATTTAGTAAAAAAAAGAAATAAAACCTGCTACAAAAGGAATAAGCCATTTAAACATTATATTGTTCTAAAATCAGATTAATTGCGCGCGCTTTCGCGACTTCCTGTTACACACTTCCGTCCCATTTCACGAACCTCCTACCACAAATTACAGGAGAGCGAGAGGAAAGATGTTACACATCAAAAATCACAGTCTTATCACAAAAAACGGGTTGGAGTAAATTCATTTATTTACTTAATAGGTTAACCAACAATCGCAATACTTGAGCAAATCCAATTAAAGACACATTTATCAATGTTAAAATTGATTACAGGGAAACACCACATGTACCATATTAGCTCCTTAGCTACCACCAGCCATCAGCCTAGCTGGTGGCAGTTTAGGTATATGATTTCATTGTCGTTGATACCAAGAATATAGAATAGCGAACGAAAAAACATTTTCAATGTTAAAAATACTTTAAAACACAGCAGGAATATGCCTGCCACCTAGCATTTTAACATTGAAAATGTTTCTTCGTTTGCCCCAGCAGATCCCCCATTTTTGCTGAAAGTGGGACTCGCCCGTGATACTCCGAGCTTTAGGGCCCGAGGACATATGAGGGCTCAAAAGACGCGGAACGTGAAGGGCTTTAAGAAGACGTAAAAATTATTTTGGAAATGTCAAAAACTTGACCGTTTGGCCCATTTGCATCTGCAGTCGTTAGCATCCACCAATCCGCATTGGGCTTGCGTGGTTATTTATGGTTTAATCTTTTTTCCATCCATAGGGAAGGTATGTGCCCCAGCGGTGACGATTAACTTACGGAATGAGCTCCCCTCCATGGTGTTCCCTCAATACTATAACATGGCCCTCTTAAAGAGAGGCTGGAATAGTATTCCACGAAAGGCAGCGGCCTGGCAATGTCACTGGCATTGCTTATGTCCATGGGCGACAGTGACCACTTAACATCAGGTAGCCCGTCAGCTCGTCTGCCTTCGAGGGCAATAAAAAAATAAATATCGTAGCCCCGACCTCCGTGGCCGAGTAGTTTGTACGCAGAATTTTAAAGTGTCGCCTACTCGAGAGGTCCCAGGTTCGAATCCTGGTGGGGCAGATGTTTGTGTGATGAATACAAGCATTTGTACTCCAGTCATGGATGATTAATATGTATTTCTTTATAAATATACTTATATATGTACTGTATAATGTATTCTATCCGTTACCCTAGTATCCCATAATACAAGCCTTACAGTGCTTATTTTGGGGCTAGGCTAATTGGTGTGAGTGTTGGAAATATTTATATTTATATCCTGTTGTTGTGTTTTACTCACTGGGTGTGTTGAGAGCCAAGTTGATGGTGTATGTGGAGGAGTCGTGGTGGGGTCGCAGAGAGGGTTGCTCGTCAGGCCGGTACCGCACCACGAAGTTCATTATTGACACCGGTGGCTGTAAACGCATTTGGAAATAAATAATCAAAACATCAGCTTTGACGACCTCAGTGGTGCGAGTGGTATGTACGCCGGGTTTTAAAGTGTCGCCTATTCAAGATTGCCGGGTTCGAATCCCCGTGGGGCAAATATTTGGCGTAGTTCACCCGTTGACCACCTGACGTTCACTGGTAGACAACGAGGCATCTACCCGTGGCTAGGGTTACCATTTAGGAATTTTAAAGTTCTGACAAAAATCCTGACATTTCGAAAAAACGTCCGGACTTTTTAGGCACAAAATGGTACCATTACTCATTTAGTTACAATGGTATGGTATTTAAATCAATACGTACATTTACTATTCATATTCAATGTAATTATAAAACCGGACAATTTAAAGAGCCCGTCAAAGTCCGGACTATGGTCAAAAAGTCCGGACATTACCGGACTTATCCGGACGGATGGTAACCCTACCCGTGGCCCACCTGACGTTAGCTGGTTGACAACGCGGCGTCCACCTGACTTTTCTCGTCGACCACAAGTGGACGTTGCGCGACGACGCGGTACCGGGTGGCTCTAATGAGTGTGACCTTTACGCTTATATTTCTAGTGATTTTATATTATATTATTATTGACTATGTTTACCCTAAAAGTCTTCTAAAGATTTTTAAGAATTTTAGGAATTGGATGAGTTTTTGTCAAATAATTTTCTACATCCAAGTTTGAAACTTTTTTTAAAAAATTTTTAGATAAAACCACAAATTAGAAAATTACCAGAAGTAAACTACAGCCCCTGTTTTCCTCGAAAATAATTACCTATACCTTGCGGCTGTTGATTTTGATAACACATGTCGCTAGTCGCGAATAAATTCTGTTTAAAACTGCATTAGAATGCCTATAAGCGCAACGTCAATGTATGCCTGAAATAAATGGCGCTTTGTTCTGATCCGGCTCTGAATTGGCGTGTGGTTACGGCCTTTGTGATAGAACTTATACGTTTCATTAATTGCATGAATGTCACATTCCTGTTATATTATGATGACGCGGATGGCATTTATTTTTATTGGGTGATAATTTATTAAGCAGATAAGTCTCATCCGAGAACTGACAAATCAACTCTTACATAACCAGAAAGATTATCACCTGTTCAAATTATTTTCAAAATAAATGTAAGTACATTAGTCAACTTACGTTATGATAGTAGCCGGTGAAGACCATTTCCTGTAGGGGACGGACATATTCCTTGAGGATATGCAGCCACTGGCGGTCTAGCCCGACTTGGGTCATATGGATGTCACGAGTGGGAACTGCCTCGTAACCTCCTTCTAGACGTTTGTCCTAAGCAATAATAATAAAAAGATTACGGACTACATTATCACGGTTTAACCAATATACTTACGGCCACTTTCAATAACCAACCTTCAGGAAAAGAAAAGGATAATTGAGTTTCTTTTCTAAATAACAGTTACTGTTGTTATTATAATGAATAAAAATATCTAGACAAATAAGGTTAATTAAAGCTATTGTCTTACTGGACTTTATTATTGAAACTGGCCGATACATAACGGGACTGTGCGACATTCGCTTTTGATAACGAAAACTCTCTAGGTAGAAAGAGAGATACAACAAAAATTATTAATGGACCACCCGATCGCTCCTACTTTGTACTTTACGTTTGGGCAGGGAGGGCTCGGCCCATTTTCATGGTTGTACCATGAACATGAGTGAGCTTTCCCCGTCCTATTCTAAGTAAAGGTACAAGTCCTAACTGAACCGCAGACCACAGGCCGCAGCTGCAGACTGCAGGCGACACTACTAGTTTCTATGAATCTCTATGAAATTGATTCCGAGCGAGGCTGCACAATGCATATAATGCACGGTCAGCCGCAGGCGCTAGCCGCAGTGTCGCCTGCGGTTGTCGCCTGCAGCCCATTCCGGAATTGTACCTTTAATCATCAACAATCATAGACAGGGTAAACCATAAAGTACGTCACACTAATTTCGCCTTGGGATTTCCATATACAACGGTTCTGCGCTAAGTCGAAAAGGTGTAACAGTAGGTACTTATTACCCCTCGTTTACACCAAGGCATAATATAACATGTATATGACAAATTTTATACAATGTGTTAATTTTCTTGTTCACACCTATACATGTAGCATAAAATACTTGCATCAAACTTGTTGGATACACAAAAAATGTGAAAAAAATAGTGATTTATACTTGTAAAGATAGTCCTTGTCTATACAGTGTAAACGAAAGAATGTCACAACAAGATCCTGCAATTTTTGTGTAAAACAAGTTTGTGACTTGTTTCTTGGTGTAAACGAATGGTTAGAACTCTAAAACAATAACAACACAGATAGAATTGAGAATTAGTCAGTCTAATCGGACAATTATCACAATAATAACACATATCTCGTGAATTTACTTGTATCTCAACTTTTCTTAGACGCATCTTCACGCGGCGACATTTACTGCTGCATTTCCTATTCGGTTTCAAATCCATATTTATATAGTAGCCCATTTTTCTCGGTATCTAAATAAACCATATTCGTAAATGGTATTGACATTTAAATGGTAATTTGATATTTCTTTTATTGAATAGGGTGGCAAATACGCGTATGGGCCTTAGGGCTCTTGTTACCGAGACGATTTATACCCGTGTCTAGGCGCAGTTTTAACCCTTGTAGGTCATCAGTTAGGTATTAGACACTGTGGAAGCGAACAAACGCCCTAAGAGCGCCTATTAATGCGCCGGTTTTTACGGGTGCCGGCTAAACTGGTCGCTAGCGCCGGTGTCGTTAACAAACCTCCATAGTGTCTCATACCTAACTGATGCCCGGACGTAGACACGGTTTAAAACCGTGCCTAGACAAGGTTAGAAATTGGTGATGATTCTGGCATGATTTCCTAAACTCAAAACTAATTTAACATTAGTCTCTCCTATTTATACTGAATAGAGAATGACAAGGATACAATGCTGTCAAATTTAAGTTTAGGTTTAGAGAATCACGCCAGAATCGACACCATTGTCTCGTTAACAAGCGCCCTCAACCTTAACTTAATGCAAATAATAATTCGGCATAGCCACGGTTACATATTATTTAAACACACCCTAGCTTTGGGACCTTTATGAACCTCAATAATTTTGTGTTTTAAATTTAAATAGCCGCCATCACGAGTATTATTTAATGGCAATAGACATTTAGGGCCGTATATATATTTTGTTTTTGAAGTGAAACTTCTTTACGCACGCTGACTTGGGGGTAAGATGGCGAATGCGTTACGCGTTCCGAAAAATGTGTTCGGGCGAGGCCAACGGGAGTTGAGTGACTCATTCTCTTATAGCTAATAAATGAAATATGTATATGTACATATATATATATATTGCTGTATATATATATTATATACAGGTGAAGCTAAAGTAGGTACACTTCTGTCGTGTGGTCATGAGCACATTCGTTTTTTTAACAATAAACGTTATTATTATTAATTAAAAAGATCCGACCAAGTGCGTTCGTACAGAAAAGGTAACAAAAATAAAATACTTACATTATTAGAGCCATCACTCCATTTCCCGTATGCTTCCATAACTTCTATCCATTCTTTACAGAACCTTTTGGACATTAACGGGAACCAATACACGTCTGGACATGGCTGTAAATATAACAAGAATATAACAAGCTTTTAGGCTCAACTCACACTGGCGCAGAGTCGAAACGACGACACATTCATCTCTATTTTCCCACTATCAAGGTATTCCCGCTTAATACCAAGTTTCATGATTTTCATCTGCAGCATATTCATCTCTATTTTTCCACTGTTAAGGTATTCCCAGGGCGAAAACCATGACGCGACGCGACGTAATAAAATTCCTTTTTATATTGCTGTAGATGCAGCTCTTTATCATAAAGGTCAATGAAGCAATATTTAATTGTTGTTCGGTAACAACAAGCAATATTTTTATTTTAATTATCCTATCCATTGATGAAACGCGTGATTTTTTGTTTTTATTTCTTAACATTACAAACAGATATAATTCCGGACATTAGAAATTGAGTTGGGTTTATCAGTCTTTAAAGTTTTCAAGTATAACCGCTGTTAAAATTTTAATGACTTCTTTTAGTACACACATCAGAAAAGTCAAGGCAACACGCATCATTTACAGAAACTGTGTTTTATTAATTGATATGTTTTTTTTTCTTTGCAGAGTAGAAAGGTATTTAAACTTCTTTGTCGTCGGAAACATAATTGGCTTATCTAAAAAACAAATACTTTCGCTTGTGTATTGTTTTCCACAAATAAAATAATATTTCGATAGTAAAAAATAATTAAAAGTTCAAAACCGTACATGTTACTTAGACTTTTTTGGTGAGTATATTTTATTTATAGGTTAGACTCTGTGTGTGAATTATGGTGTGGCTGTGCCCCGCGGTGTTACCCGCAGATATTAGGGATATTTTCCCGTAATAAAACGTAGCCCTTGTACTAATCCAGGGTGTCAGCTAACTTCATACCAAATATTTATTAAAATCGCTCCAGCCGTTTAGACGTGAAGAAGTAACAAAAACATACACACTCACAAACTTTCGCCTTTATAATATTAGTGTGATTTTGCTTCACACACAGAAAAAGTTGAATGCAAATAAATTCCTTACCATCAAGTGTTTTCGGCCCTCTTCGAAATTAACACTATAGTTTTCATGGAGATAGCGAGCTTCCCACTCGAGTTTATTATCGAACAAACTGTACACATCTGGGTTGGTGCGGCTGACATCATAGTTCTCAGGATTCACCAAATGTCCGAAGTCCATCTCGTTGCTCACGTGCATGAATATACCCTGGACAAGTGTAAGTATCTCAGTGCTACATTATACTCATGCGACTATAAAGAAATTTAACTTTTAGGGTATTTCAGTGTGAGTTATAGATAGTAGAAATAAAGCTTCATTTAGGTGTTAACACACATATAAGACTAGAAACTATATACATATAAGTAACGTATGTAACATAGTATGTATTTCGTTTGGTTTCACAAATTTTATCATAATTATCGTGTGTAATCCATATAGAGGCATTTTATTTTGCTTCAATTTGCTTTGAAAATTAAAAAAAATGTCAACGTACTAGTTGCCTCAAATTAGAGCAGAACGCCATGTCTGCATCCACATCTTCGGACGAATAGGTGACGGACTTGGCCTCTGTATTCCTGAATAATGACATCTTCATGAGGTAGCAATTCGTGATGAAAGGAACATTCCATACCCCTCTGAAAACAAAATACAACGGATGTAGGTCAATGAGTGAAATGACACAACTGATTAGGCTACTGGTGGTGTCGTCGACCGCTGATAATTCCAGATCACGTATTTCGAATGTTACTTTATGATAAAAAAAGAATGCGGTCATAGTTCAATCGGATAAGACGAATGGCTCGTATGATTAAGTTTATTTAGTTAAAAATATTGGCAGATACTTCTATTGTTACTACCTAACGATTTAAAATATTTAAATGAAATAGGAGGAAGCCAGTTTATCCGATACTTATATCTGAATTTGCGTGTGTACTAATGATTATTTTATTGGGCAAAAAGTTTTTTTATACAAAAACATTCGCGTTTGTCCGTATCTCGCCAGATGAAAGGTAATGATGTGATAAAAGCACGCTGATGAAATCTTTTCACTCGCGACTTAAAATCGTAGTTTTTATTACTTGTTCCGATGATATGAGAAGTAAATCATTAAAATTATACCGGAATTTACATAATCTTGATGCCATTAAGATGGGTACATTTCCTATAGGAATTGCTTGCCGTCTACACTAGACGCATGCGGTCCTCAAGACTTACAGAGGATTAGCTCATTGATAAAATACGTTTAATCTACAGTTGCTTGTGACCCGCATCAGATAAATATTTTAACATTCAGCAAACAATTAACCTATATATCAAGTGGTTCACTTGGTTTCCTCGTATTTCATTCACTAAGATTTAGGTAACACTACATTTAATTGTGTTAAATAATTACCATATAGTTTCAAGTGGTTCACTATTTTTTCTCGTATTTCATTCACGACAATTTCGGTAATACTAACTCAAGCAAACTGCGTTTGCTTATATCATAATAATCTTGCTATGAAACTTTCCACGCTCTAATATTGTGGATATTTGTTCTTATTTATAGACACGAGACTTATGATCTTCGCATCGGTGTACAAATCGAGATAGGAAATGACGAGTGCTATATATCACATAGGGGGAGACAAGGGCCCTCCTGCGATCACCTCTGTCATTAGCCAATTGAGAGATTGGCGCGGCAGCATCGCTGGCACTAACAGTTGCGCCCGGACCCCATACAAGAACGTACCAGAAAGGCAACCTGAACTGCGCCGAGTTTTGGCACAAATGTTGCACTTTAAGGCCAAGTTGTTTTTGGGAGTGCTACTGATTCTTTTGTTTTGGACATGGCAAATCGAGGCGAGAAGAGGACGCACCAGGAGCAGAACCAAATCTAAGGTAATTTAGTTTAAAAAAAGTTTTAGTTATGGAGCTTCTCATGCAAATGATACCCAAGGGTGTTTGACTTGTACACATCGCACGTTTAATGGAATACTGGCCTATTAGTACTTAAGACATAGAGACAAAAAGTTGTCCTAAAGCCATCTATATCATTCTATTCACATAGCTTCATAAATATCGCTGTCATTAACACCTTACTTTAAAATTAGACACATACCTGGTAAACAAAAAAATGTGCAAACACCTTAATATTGTACGTTATTCAACGTTGAACTAAGTACTAATAGGTCAGTATTCCTTTAAGCGTGCGACATGTTATTAGATAGTCGTATTGTTTAAAAATCATTGCTTTTTCAGGTCCAAATAGGTTTACCAATTACCGGAAAATACAGAGATCCTGAATCAGATCAATATTATAACAATAATGATGTAAGTTAAACAGTGCGCAAGTATATAAAGAATGACAATCTGTAATGCTAACAGCGAATTACGTCTATTTGCATTTATTATTTGTATTAAAGTATGTATGCAAACAGAACTACAAAATTCTTAATTTAAAATACTCATTCCAGGGAGCAAAAATATTACTCGCATCTCATTTTGACTTCGAATACGTGCTTGGACATAAAATTGCATTTTTGTGCATCGCTAAAGGATCCCCAAGACCGCACATTACCTGGTTCAAAGATGGAGTCGAGATATACGCACATCACTATCTACATGTAAGTTTTTATTAAGTCTGTGTCTCAAAAAAATACATCCCGTCCAATATATTGACAATATGATCGTTTTAATGTGTACCGTGTCAACTTCAATCAATTTGCATAATGTGTAAGTGAATTTGTGAAAAGTATATTAAAAAAGTTAAGCAAAATAAGCAACCAAACTTTTTATTTCAAGCCGCTAGACCTACCGCTTTCTGGTCCAGCCCTAATCTATGGGAAACTTGTGTCTTAGCAGCAGCAACAATGAATAATTTTATGGTACTCCTATCTTAATATTTTTTAAATAAAACAAGTTTCAACGGGTTAGATGCACTGATTTTATTTATTTATTGACGTTTCGCGTCCTTTGCAGGATGAGTCGTCGGAATAATGATTAATATTTTTTATATAATAAATTCTCTAGTTGGACTAATGTTACGTTGTGATACTAGAAATAGCTGCTGCGCTAGTGATATACGCTTGGGATGTCTTATTTTCCTTCTGTGTGTGGGATATTCACCCAAACGGCGTCCTAAATGCAAGCAGAACATTTGCAGACTTCAACTGTCTTAGCTTTTTCGAAAATTAATATTCCAGATTCACGAGTGGCCTATCGGAGAGGATCGCGTGAAGTCAAAGATAGAAATCGACCCCGCTACCCAGATGGACGCAGGCGTTTATGAATGTACCGCAGACAACATGTACTCCATAGATCGACGCTCTTTCAAAACTGACTTCTCTATTGCATTTGACTGAATGTTTTATAATACTAATAATGCAAGACTTACAATTATCCGTATCAATTTACAGACAATATTCGAATAATTTAAAAAAAATAAAAAGCTGCTGTGAGTTTAATGTTAAATAAATGTTTTGTGCAATACTTTGGAGACCTGTTTTCTTTACTATTATAATTTACAAAAAAAGCTTTAGGACGATTTCATTAACTTCATATAGGTAAGTGCTCGTTCACATATGGTCTCCGTTTTACTGGTCCGTTGTATCGGATACGTTTTTTTCATCGATGGCGTATATTGATACTATATATTTACATACAAGTACATACGCCAATAATGTATACGTTTAAACGGACCAGTAAAACGGACTACTGCATATATTGTCAGAGCTGTATTTTTTACTGGATCCGGAATACTGCATTTTGTGTGAACGCGCACTTACTGTCTAAAAACGGACGCAGCACAGCGCAATCATTAAACAGATGGCAGACAAATAGAACGACCCGGCTTCGATTCTGGAGGGGGCCAAATGTTCTTGTGATAACATTACATTTTTCATTATATATGTATGTTTACATGTTGTAAAATATATGTTTTATTATAAAATCATGTTTCCTATTTGTTAATGAATACTTGAAATTCGATACCTGTCACGGATGTGATGTGATGTGTAATTAAGTGTGTCTGTACATTGTTCAGCACCCAACGTACAACCTACACTTAGTTTGGGGCCATAAGGTTGTTGTGAAAGCGTTCTTAATATCATATAATCATTACAAATGTAATTCGAAATAATCAAATCTTACCTGACGGCTTGGTAAACTATATCCATATAGTCCGCGGACCTAGCGTAGAAGCCGGCAGAGTTGATCGCCCCCCAGAAATTAGACCAAGCTTGTCCGGGCCGCACCAACATCGGTGCGATGACGTCATATCCAGACGAAACGAGATAACGCAACGTGTCAGGTTTCACTCTGGACACGCTGTCGACGGAGAAAAGGTAGTCGCAGACGCTGTTAACGCACCTATCCCTGGAAATTGGAAAAACGTTGTACGACTCTCATTGGTTTATGTTTGGCGCAAACTAGTTGCGCTTTCACGATGGTCTTAAAAAACAATTATCAAAAAGCTGGCTGCAACCTTCCATGAGAAACAACAGAAAATTGGTATGGTAGTCTTGGATACAACGCTACAGCAGAATACATTTACATATTTTATTCGTATTTAGCTTTTAATATTATACTAACGCCTATTGAAAGTCAGATAAATACGCTCGCAAAGTAGCTGAAGCACTTTGGAAAATTATGAAGTAAACTAACTACAGAGATTCGTAAAAAATATAAAAAAATTGTTTTCTACAGTGGCCTTAAGTCATATTTTGAAGTTTTAACATGACGCAATAGAGAAAGAGACGTCTATATACGCACAGAAGAGTGGTTTCGCGTTTAAGCCTATAAAGGACTACTACATATGCACAGAACAGGGGTCTCCTGTTTAAGTCTGTTTCTTGCCTTTTTTTATAAGTTCATAATAGTACAGCCTCGATTCATCAGTCAACCCCAGAAACTCGAAGAATGAGGCCAACAATATCTTTTATAAACCAAAAGGTCAGGGACAAAGTAAACAGCAATCGAGAACAGTATTCGCATAGCGCTGAGCTTGATATTTTAAAACTCCAGGCTATAAAACGCACCGCATTTTATAAATCTTTACATTATATTTAAAAGACCTTTGCTTATATTATTAAGCATACAAATTATCATTAATTACAGAAGGAACATTCGAACGATAGCAAACTATCAATGTGTTGCTACAACCAAATTTATTTTATAGTTGAAGAACACTAGCATGGCAGTTCAATTACATAAACAAATGTAGGCAATTGTATGCAATTTGTGACTATTGTTCCCAAGCAAATTTTTTATTTATATAAATTCTGTCACTGTCACTCTATTTTTTCTTCTATTTAATTGGGTAAACAAACAGTTACAAAGTAAGTACATAAGAATTCAGTATTGGTAGTTACATAAATAATTTTGAAACCAGCCCTATTTACCACTTATATATAAAAAACATATAAAAACTCTATGCATGTTAATAGAATTAAGTTTTGCTTGGTCATCATCAATGTAATCCATAAAAAGAAAAAAAACACGCCTGAGACAATAATGGCCAAGTGCGAGTTAGACTAGCACATGAAGGGTTTCTTATCACATGAACTACATGAGATCCAAACAAAATTGACCTTAAGGGTCATACACTTCATTAGCGCAATTTTTAAATTGTTGGATAAAAAATATTCATATATCATATCATAGGGGCAAAACAAAGAATTGAGATAAATAACTTTATAACGTTATTTTTGATGTTACAGTACAGATGACCTGACGATTATTGACTGGGTAATGAATTATTTGACAGATAATCTCAGAATTGAAACTTCGCCCCCAAGTTAAATAAAATGTAACAAAATATAAAATTCTATTCTTACTTGGCAATATTCCTTGCTTCAGATTCTGAGATAAAATCATCCGGTTTGATACGCTTCGCGGTGGCATAGTTTTTGGAGTGCGCTTGGAAAAAATCATCAACTTCAGTTTCATGATACTCCACATTATTTCTCAATACCAAATGAATCTTAGATTTAGGGTAGTCAATGTCATTTAATTGTTGCAAAAACTCTTCCATGAATGGCGTCGCTTGTTCTATAAACACCGCCATCATGACGTTTGGTAATTCATTTTCCTTAAGTTCAATCTTTTTCTCATTGCAAAGCGCACATCCCTCTTTCATGGACCACGACTTGGCTAAATAGTTGCCTAAGTGGTTTAAAGTGAGTTTAGATGGACCGTTCCCATGTACAATCAGCGGTCTTTCCTTTGTCACTACATTTTCTATATAAGGCCACTCTTCTGTAGTGTTAGATCTCAATTGGACATCGGCTGTAATGAAAAAATATCGTGAACACATAATGTAAAAGCATTTATAAATGCTTAAAAGACTTTCCCAGGGTCCTCTCAGTCAAACAAAGATAATACTTACATAAAGCTCCATATAGATTTTGGAATATTTTTGAATCATGGTCAAGTGAAATCTTCAAATTATGTCTTAATTCCTTGTCTAAGTAAATCTTTGTGTAGTACAATTGGTCATCATCCTGATCTTTTATAGGTTTGTGATTCAATATTTCAAGTAACTCAGGAAGATACCCTGAAGCAATATAATATCAGAAGTAATCAAAACAATAAAGCTACTAAATCATTTGTTTGGCTACAATGTTTGGATGTAATGTAATATTGCATGTCTGATAATAAAAATATTTTATATTACATAATCATAATATGCGCTGTGGGAACATAAACAATGCCGCGTCGGTCATAATAAATGGACACAGAAAAATAAAACTGAAAGCAATTGGAATTATTACTGTTCAATATAAAATCTTATACCTATAAATGCTCCAGAGTTTAAGTACGGGTTCGCAACCTCAGTCTTGGGGTAATGACCAGCCAGCTTGCTGTCTGGCCAGCAAAATTGCTCAGCAGAGAATAAAACCCGTGTATCTTTAAAAGATTTGAACTTCTTCAGAATATCTTCTAAGGTCGAGAGGAACATAATATCATAGCTGTAACAAAATTTAAGGCTAGTCTTGTTATACTTAAATAAAAGACATTGAAAAATAAAGTTACGAAAATTGTGGGTCACGCACAGATTAGGATAGATAAATTACTTCTATGCAAAAGTTAAAATACCTATGTCGTATCAGCTTTAAATTATTAAATACTTTTAAAATCACTGCAAAAAGAGACGTACTCTACTAACGCGCGTCGAGAATCGAGATTCCTGCGTTCATCGATTACGTCATTGAGCAAAGACGCTAGTTATACAAAATGAAGACTGAAATTGTAATTTTTATATATAATGCAATGAAGTGAATGTAAGTTAAGCAGCTGACTTAAATGTGATTTAAGTTGACGACCTCCGTGGCCGAGTGGTTTGTACGCCGGGTTTCAACGTGTGGCCTACTTGAGAGGTGCCGGGTTCAAATCTCGGTGGAAGCAGATGTTTGTGTGATGAATACGAGCATTTGTACTCCAGTCATGGGTTTTTTTATATGTATTTCTATATAAATATACTTGTATATGTATTAGTATGTGTATCTATCTGCTACCCTAGAATCCCATGATACAAGCCTACAGTGCTTACTTTGGGGCTAGGCTAATTGGTGTGAGTGTTTGAAATGGTCTAGTACCCATTGGACCCTCAAGATTCGACCCAAAAGCAAAAAGTGCCCATTGGACCTCTTTTTTGGTTTATTCGACCTTCTTAAAACATTTTATATTCAAAAGTGCCCATTGGACCTCTTATTTGGTGCCCATTGGACCTCCTTAAAAATTTTATATTCTATGTGCCCACTGGACCTCTTTTTAAGTGCCCATTGGACCTTCAAGATTATACCCTACTGCCAGTTGGACCTTATTAACAGTTTTGTTAAGCACAGTACAGTCATGTAGAAAATTGCAGACAAAAATAAAATTAACAGTAGGTATTATAAAGCCACTAACTAAATACTGTATAAGTACTGACTCCAACCTACTGGTTGGAGTAGTCCTAAACAAATTATAAAGAAATCAGGTAACTTTTTTTCTTCGAATTAACGATATTTCGCCGTCCCCAGAGAATAAAAAGATAACTACAAAAATGTAAGTTTTCAGGAAAAAATAAAAAAACTGTTTTTCGTCTATTGTGCTATAAATATTAGACGCAGAAAGATGATAGAAACCTTTAAGAAAATCTAATTTTTAAAACATTTGGATTTTTTAGTAAGGTACTGGTACAATAGGATATAAGGGAGATATTTAGAAAATAAAATGTGAATCAATTGTAATCAAAATTTAATTTGTATAATGTTTATTTTTATTTTATTCGTATTGACAAGGAGCCAAAACCAAATATTGCACTACTGACATGTATTTTTATTCTATGGGTTATAAGGGTGCAAGTGACAATGATAATACTTCCATATCTTTTTATTTTCGTAAATATTGTAAACCTTTTTTTCTTTAAAGATCATTTTATATGTTTGTGCTTTAGGTTTAAAGGAATGATCATTAATTACATTAATTTTAAATTTAATTACATTAATGATCATTAACGCAAAAAGATTTCACTCAATAGGGCGATCGTACACTGACCAATAAATACCCTTACAGCGCAGCACCAAATCCACAAGACCTTTCAAATCGAACAAAGTTCGATTGATTCCAAGTTCCTTAAAACAGCTTGGATCTAGACAATCTAAGCAACATGACGGTGGATTTTGCAAAGACATCATCTTTTGATCTAAGACTGAAATTCTGAGGGAGATTGAGTGTTTTTATCGGCAGCTATACTCCTCTTAAGCACCTGATGAAAGGAAGGTTCTAGATTCCAAGCCCAAGCGATTGCTTGGGCTTTCTGCGCTTAAACAAAAGGATGGCGCCGATCTCATATGTGGGAGAGAGAGAGAAATAATGCTGTCTCGTTCCGATATATGACCTATGTTGCAGCTAGAAAATAATCTTACAACCGTAGGCCATTACTTAGAAAAATATTTAATTTGGTAATTTATAATGTTTTACAAAAGAAGACTATTAAATTTTTTATGGAGGTTGGTAGTGGGTCTTTCGGCAGACTCCAAGTTTTTATGAGATGCAGCGCACTTAATTGTGAATCGTTTGACAAAAAACTAGAATTTTATTTTATCCCGGTTTTTTATATTAAAATAACATAAATCTATCTAATAATTGATTTGCAAATGGCAAGTTTATTTATCTATTTTTTGTTGCCAAGCATCAAATATATTATGTTCAATGTGTAACAAAAGCAGTGATGATAATTCTGATAATAATCCATGACTGGACTGATTGACATTTGCCATAGTGATTGAGTTGACGTTAGAAGCCACCACGCACTAAAAATTAAGATGTTACTAAGAACCCTATCTTACTTACAAAGTTATTTAATTATTAAACACGATTTTAAAATAATCGGTAATGAATAAAAAAATCAAAGTATCTATTCATGTTATACAAACTTTCAAATTATATATATTTCGTCCTCGTCGGAAACCGACTACCGCTTTTGAACCATATCCTTTAGTTAAAGTATGTTTTTATAATAAGCAATTCCTCGTTAATTGTAAAAATATGATTAGAAATAATTTTTTATAAAATGTAATATGAAAATATTACATTGGTATTTTATTTTATGAATATTTAGAATACATAATAATTGTGCTTCAATAGTTAATCTGAGTGATATAAAAACTGTATGTAAAATTAAATTAAGATATCTGATAAAAAAAAATCTTTTTAAAAGTAAAATAACAAAATCTGTGATTTGATTATTATATTATATGGTTTGTTGCTGATGATTGATGTTTCGAATTTTATAAATATGTTGATTTTAAATACTTATATTTATAACCTTTGTGCTTTTATTTATTTTATCAATATTTAGAATATATAATAATTTTGCTTTATCTGTGTGATATAACAAACCATATTTATAATTTAGTTAAGCTATTTGATAAAAAATAATTTCTATTGGCTTTAAAAGTAAAGTAAAAAATCTGTGATTTGATTATTATATTTTATGTAAATATTTATATTGGTTTGTTACTGATGATGAGTGTTTTGAATTTTATAAATATGTTGATTAAATACTTAGATTTATAACCTTTGTGTTTTTATGTCTTTTACAATGTTACTTTACTACACGACTGTACTTTACCGTTCCATAAGAATTAGCCAAATAGTTAAGAGCTCCAATAGCTCTCATTGTGTGACTTAAGTACGTCTTTGAGGGTCCAATGGGCACCATGTTCTTGATAGGAGGTCGAACGGGCACTTTTTTGTAGGTAAGGTCCAATTAGGAGGGTCCAATACCTTTGAAATATTTATTTATTATAATTTTAATTTTATATAAAGTTATAATAATGTAATTCACTGGGAATAAGTTTACTTAATTTCCCTCATAGAATAATAATCCAGAAAAAATGTAAATAAAAACGAAGTAAACCTTTAGTACAGCGTAAATATTTCATGAAAGGTCAATTACTTTGAAATAGCTACTAACAATATTATATACTTTAATAATACTAGGTATTATAAGTTTGCGCGAGTTTCGCTCATTCTAAAGTAATTATTAATAAATACGTAAGTTTCGCTGCATTTACTCAGTAAACTTGTCGTATGTGCTCTGTCTCGCGGGTGGTGACCCGCTGCCACTCGGACCTACGGCAGTTTACGATTGACTGGGGCGTGCTCATGGCCCAATCTTCCTATTCTATCCATATCCCAGCCAGCTGGGATATAGGCCGGGAAAGGCCTATATCGCACCAATGAGAACATTAAAAGGTTGATATTGATAAAGGCTTTTAATAGGTTATTTGGTTTATAGTTTAGATTGATTACCATCATTATTTTCAAATTGCAACTTTTTATAAGTGGAAATTTAAAACTGAGATAAGTTATAAAACTGTAAACAATTAAAGATTTTTATAGAGCATACCTGTCAGTGAATAGTATGATTCTGTCTTTATTGTCATCTGATTTCATCAATTTTGATAATTCATCTTTCAAAATGTTGATCTTCTGTCCTCCACCTGCATATTTCATATCACCTCCAGTCCATTCCTTCCCTTTGGCCAATACTTCAACATCAATGCCATAGACTCTGGCAGATCGAAGAAATCTGTCTAGTCCATGTGTGTCATCAGTGGCTACTGTAAATACCTTCACTTCATCTGTAATTAAAGATAATTTGTAAATTCATGACTGTGTTTGTGGTGCTTGAAGATGATGACAAATGATACAATTTGCAGTTGTCTTTATATCAAAGCAACAAAAATGTTCTATGAAAATAGAGTCAGGTTATATTATCAATTTGGCATGAATATTTAAATGTCAATCAGGGTAAAAAGTTGCACCAAACATTTGAGAATGCTCTGAATTCAGCCCTGCCCCTTAAATGAATGTCCTCACGCTCAATGGTGTCAGCCTTCAAATGGGTAAAGGTTCTCTCATAAAAGGTAAGTGGAAGATGTTTACAAACTTCAAGTGTTTGAAGTAGGAACCAATGTAAAATATCTTTCAATGGACAAATTTTTATTCGTAACTACCTCTAATAATTTTTTACCAATAAGTTTATTTTTACTAAAATTGAATATACATAATATATAGGCAACACTTGATTATCAGACTCTCAATATAGTTATGTAGATTGGTCAAATATCCTACAGCAATGTCATCAAAAAATCTTTTAGAAATTATCTGGATGACATAATTACAACTAGTCATTATAAAATGTATTTTTTACATTTTATGATCATTCATAATATGTTAAAAAATACATTTTATTATGTAATCTTACTGAAGTAGTGAAGAATAGATATAGAGTTATTTAAGAGAATTTACATATTTTTATTAAATGTTTCACACTTTATAACTTCACTAGCAGCCTACCGAGACTTCGTCCACGATAAATTTAGATTTCTCAGAAACACACTGGAACCCATAATTTTCTGGGAAAAAAAGTATCCTATGTCCTAAACCAGGTCATAAACTGTATATGCATGTCAAATTTTATGCAAATCCGTTCATCAGCTTTTCCATGATAGAGTATAAACATACAAACTTTCACAATTATAATATACTAATATTAAATTATTCAAATGAATAAATTGAGCTGAAATTATTTCTATAAATAAATGTTACCAGTTCCATAACCAACTTAAAGATAAAATCAACATGAGATACAAATTAACATAATGACACACACACTCACACACAGGAACCCTTTATTGTCTGCGATAAAAAGTATCCTATGTCCCAATAGAGGTCTTAAACTATATGCATATCAAATTTCATGCAAATCCATTGAGCAGTCATACAAACTTTCATATTTATAATATTAGTAGGATTAAATTATTCAAATGAATAAATTCAGCTGAAATCATATATACAAGTAAATGGTACCAGTTCACAAGCCAACTTACAGATAAAATCAAAATGAGATACAAATAAATAGGATCATTGTCTTTCCAAACTATTAAATCAAGAGTGGCTATGTGTTTTGTCCTCATTTCTAATTGTGATTGATGAACTGGAATGAGGGGTAGATGCTATTGAGGTATAATGCTTATTAATTTCTATTGACACAAATATCCACATTTTAAAGTTATATATAAATACCATTTTATATTATACATTTTAAGTATCAGTAATAAAGAAATACATTACTTTTATTGATATTATTTTCATAACTGTAATAATTACAATCTCCTACAAGACTGAGCTTCTACTTAAAAATAAAATTTATGGAAATCATAATGAAATTGTTATATTTATTTCAAAGCTTTCATGCACACCAGATAACCCAATACAATTAAACTCTTTTTCAATGGATACAAGTCAAGTTCATACTTGTTAAACTGCTTGATAATAAATAACTATAACATTATTAATACAGCATCCCAGCATATAAATGAACTAAGCAATTCTATATTTATGCAAAAGAATATCCAATAAATAAAAGAAAAAAGTTACACAATTTATTGATAGAATAATGTTATTATCAGTATTCTGATCTCATTAATTGAGAATGCTTAAGGATGACTTATAAAGTATTAGAATTTAAAAGCAAAAATAAGTCAAGTTGATAAGACAAAAACCAGTTCAATTATAATAAATCTTACCTGAAGCTCCAATATGACGAACTATTAATAATATTACAGCTAATAGTTGAATGAGCTTTCCAGATTTATCCATGATCGCACAGTTCAACATACTTCCTTGCACTGGTATGTACAAATTAGACCTCGTTAAAACAACGCACAGTCTAAAGAAAGACTCATTTATTGCTCCAGATTATGTTCCCGCTTCCTAACCGATAAATTTTCAGTATGCGAGGACCACTGCTCATGCGATAGTGAGCATTTCCTTCCTCGTCGCACGATCTCAATTTCAACAATTCAGATCAATCACCCCAGGCACATATGTTTTTGTATTTAATTGATGTTTAGGTTGTTTCAGTTACACACAACAAAGCTGACATAACAGACTATATAGTTAGAGTAGGGACACGAAAAAAGTATCGATACTTTGTGGTATCGAGTACTTTTCCTTTCGATACCGATACTTTTGTACTCGATACTTTGTATTCGATACTTTTACTAAATGAGTACTTTTTGGCAAGTATCGATACCTTTAAAAATTTGGATAAGCGTCTCATATTGATCGCAATGCCATCTTGTTAAATCATAGCAAACCTTCTGAAACGTTCCATAGGGTATTTGACAAGTTTTAGGCAACGATCTCACGTTATTGACTAATGTGTATGGAGTCCGTAAAAAGTGGATATTCATCATTCTGTTGTGTATTTCAGTAAAAATAACCAAATCAAAAACTCCATTTTCAAGTTGCCGCAAAAATGTTACTCTGGACAATATGGCGTTTTACTAGTGTGTGACGTCACACGACTGTTATTAAAACGTCAAACGATACAATGTAATGTCACTTTGACCGAAAGTTTACTTGCGTGTGACGTCATTTTAGGCTCCGCCAATCCCAAGCGTTTTGGGTTACGTGACAATAGATAAGAAAACATATCTTTTTCGTTATTTTGGCACTTTATTTTTAATACTGTCAAATGCCCTATTGCGTTGTTATAAAGTCAGTAACTGACATATTCAAATTCTTTCCAATCTGTGACTGTGTTTATTTTGCGCTTTGTATTGTTTCATAGTTATTTATTTAGCGACTATATTGTTAGGAACTGTGATTGATTCGCCGTTTATTGTGCTTTTCGCTTGACTGTATTTGATTTATTCAAGTGTAACACTATTATTCTGTCTGTGCTGTGTATACCTATTTGAAACCACCTGAAAAAAAGACGGACGTAACCTCTTCTATAATTATAATCTTGAGTGAAGCATGCCAATGGCAGCCGTTAACTACGTGCCAGATTCAAGTTAACATAAGTGGGTATAATTTTTTTTAATGATTAAAATTCAAGAAAAGTAAATTTAATTTGAAACAAATCTGAAAAGTTTCATACTTTTAAATTGTTTAAAATTTCGATCTTTTTAATGAACATTTTAATTATGAATGTAATATTAATTAACACTTCTTTAGTGTCAGAAATCACAGCTATTTTCTTTTCATTATATAATATAGCAATTTGTGAATTTACATGTCCTTTTTTTGTTTTTGATTATACTTATTATAATAAAATTCGATTGTTTTTCTTTCAATTTTAACACCGGGGGGGGGGGGGGGGGTTGATCATCAGGCTACAGAGGGTCCGATAAGGCCCTATGAAATGTACTCGATACTTTGAAGTATCGATACTTTTGTTTCGATACTTTTACGAGTACGATACTTTTTTAACGGTACTACTCATGAGTACAGTATCGATACTTTCTATTCGATATCGTGTCCCTAAGTTAGAGTAGAGATACTACGTGCTGACATCAGGTTCAGACAAGAGAATATTTCAATCAGGGACTTTTCACTTCGAACTACAATTATTTGTATGGACATCACAGAACGAATTTTCTTAAATTATACTAACCATTCTTCAGGATATTTTTTCTTTGGCACTCCCATTTCAGATTTATTTCACTCATTTACTAAGATAAATTTAAATTAGTAAATTTAAAACGTAGAAATTTCGATCACTCAACAGAAATAAAACAGCCAGACAATAATAACTGATCATCATCATCAGCCTATTAATGTCCCCACTGCTGGGATACGGGCCTTCCCTATGGATGAAATTGGGAGATTGGGCCATGACCCACCACGCGGGCCCAGTGCGGATTGGTGGGTGCTAACTACTGCAGATGCAGCCGGGATCAACGGCTTAACGTGCCTTCCGAAGCACGGAATAATAATTGATGGAAATACAATAATCCAACCAAATGTAAATCTTGTCCTAAGAATTGTACAATAAATGTATAATGTGCCTACTTAATTTGATAGTATTCGAAAGATCGTAGTGCAAGGGGAATCCCCGGGTAAGAATATAAAGGTGCGTAAGGAATGGGTTACGTTCACAGCCATCATCTTTTCGTTCGGAGGTTGCGTTTGTAAACTAAAATGTGAGGTTTCATTTGCGAATGTCAAGATATTAATTTGTACTTTAAAAAATTCTTGACAAATGCAAATTAGGTTGGTTTTGTTACCGTTGTTATGCTCTAAAGGTAGGTAGTAGATTTTTGCTGAGTACGGTGCATTTACCGTCATTAAGGTGCACATGGCAGCACTGACTGCTGTTACCGAACAGTCCGACCAACCGTATATAAATTTCTAACCCCAAACAGAAACTAACCTCAGAACCATGACAGATAACCAGATGAATCTTTCTCATCGGGTTAAATACTCCGAGCCAACAAATTAACATCGGACTCATCTGGGCGGAAATACCGAACGTTTTAAAAATACTCTAGAAACGAACGAGTACCTGTGGCTGTCAGTAACTGTAACAAAAATCAAGAAAGAAGAAATACAGGTTATCAGCATATATTATTTAGAACAGATTTTATTTTGAAATAATAAACTAAAGAATTGGCTGTATGGGCACAGTACCCTTTGTCTACTCAGAATGGGTAAAGAATCTAAAAAAAAACAACTGTAACAAAAAAAAACTGTTCTGTTTACGCTTCGTGAATTTAATGTTTTCTTGTGATTTTTGGTGGTTTTTCCGACGATTTCAGCTATTTTTCCGGACTCCGATTCTCCTGCTTTTACGTTTTGACCCTTGCTCTGGCCTCTGGCCGTACCCTAAGGGTGCGGCCAGAGTGCACTCAGATTCAGATTCAGATTCTGAAAACAAGCGCGAGAAATAAACAGTGTAGTCTAAGCAGGTTGCCTGCTTTTTCTCGCGCTTTGTTTTCTGAGTCTGAATCTGAATCAGGAGTGCAATCTGGCCGAACCCTTCGACTACACTGTTTATTTCTCACGCTTGTTTTCGAAATCTGAATCTGAATCTGAATCTGAGTGCACTCTGGCCGCACCCTTAGGGTGCGGCCAGAGTGTATACATGTGTATACATAACTGGAAAGTACTTTGACATCAGAATTACAGGAAAACCAATGTAATCGATATGAAAATTGACGCTGTTGTTAATTTTATTTGACGATTATTTTATATTTAATTACCGCGAATTGCGCCAATGTAGTTTCATATTTCTGATCATTATCCTGAAACTGTTATCGATAGGCTATTATAAATAGCGATCATTTCTAGTGGAAAGCATTAGCTCATAAACAGCCACGGCGTGAACTAGTTCGTCCAGAGCAACACTGTGACCGAAGACCTGGACGTCAACGTCCGTTTCTTTCGCCATTCGCAGCTACTAGATCGTGACTGCCAAAGACTGCAAAATTCCCAAGATGCTAAGAAGTGAGTATATCATTTCTACAAACTCATATCAACGTTATTCTGAGCAAAAACGTTATCGTGTGCGCCAACCCATCGGAACGTCTTGTGAGGTCCAACAAAATTAATGTCAATTTATCTGTTGACAGGTCACCGATCCGACCGGATCCCGTTTGACGAGAGCACAGAAAGCCGACACAATACCGACCCGACACTTCCACGTCGTCAAGAGACCATGGCTGATGGGGACCTGAGGAATTGGATTCCTCGGTGGCCTACCAGATCCGAATTAATACTAAAGATTTTAATTATCACAAGTACCTTAATACTGTTTGAGATAGTCATGACATGTCCTTTGTCACCTGTGCGGTATTTAGGTTCGCTCATTATAGCGATGCTTTTTATTTGTTTTACTTTTTGAAATAAAAATTATTATGTACACTTGTTGGTTTCATTGACATAGAATAAGCTGACGCGACACCGCGTCCAGTAGGTATCCCAACTCGCGTATGAGCTAAGGTCACGATCGGCGCTCTAGCAAGCTGCATGTGCACTGAATGTGCATCGGACCGACGTGCAGGCATAGACGTCACGCTGCAGCTTGTGCAGCAGTTGCTGCACTCTAATGAGTCGAGCATAACGCGTTAGGAGTTAACATCGATGCATGATGGAGTTGTGTCTCCTGATCTCAAAAATGACACCCCCCGCCACCCCTGACCCCTAATTTTGAAATTATAGCCCGTACGTTCTCGAGTAACTGACTGTACAGACAGACTTTTTGATTCTGACGAACCACTACAGACTGTCAGCCTTTTTGATTATTTGACAGATTACAACTGACTGACAGAGATTTTTACTCTTTATTGGATCACAACAAAGTAAAGATTTTTTGACTATTTGACAGATCACAACAGACTGACAGACTTTTTTACTTTAGACAGATCACAACAGATTGACAGACTTTTTGACTACCTATTTGACAGATCACAACTGACTTTTTGCTATTTGCTAAAGCTGTCTAACTAGCCAAACTCGTTTTCCCATACAAAATTTGACCCCTGTATCACCCAATTCACGGTGGAATATTCAAAAATCCTTTCTCGCTTGATGCCTACGTCATTTAAACAACCTATTTATTAATAAAATGTCTCTACGACCAAAAGTGTAGGCGTGCGTTGACGCTCAAAACTTCAGCATGTTTAACTATATCTAGCTTCAACTATATCTTTGTTTTATGAGGGAAGTTTCGAAAAGTGAAAACACAAATAGCATTTTTATTATAAACAGAGTAAGTGTGCAAAATTTTAATCAATCCTATGCACTTTTGGATAATCTCCCATAAAAACAGACACGAAATTTTCGTTATTTATTGAGGGTAGTTGTAAAAATGTTATGTAACTGCCTTAGTGTAGATCTATTAAATAATGTTTTTGCAAAATTTTCAGTCAATAGGTCCAAGGGATAAGATTTTAGGGGCTGTTCAAGTATTACGTAAGCACTATAGGTGGGCAGGGGGGTCTTTGCTTTGCTTATTTTTGATGATATGGGGGGGTGGGGGGTAGAGATGGTGATTACGTCAGCATCATCGATTAAGTACTGCTGCTCATGAAGCTCATGAAAGCTCATGAATCAATAAAAAAAAACAGAATACATTAAAGGAAAAATGCATATAGGTACCAATGTTTACGTAAGGATGGGGGGAAGAGTTTTGCTTAATTTTGCTGACGAGGAGGAGGAGGGGGTAACTAATTGTAATAAATCTGCTTACGTAATACTTGAACAAACGGTTTATTTCAAATTTCACGCTTAAGAGGGTGAATTTCAAAAAATCCCTTCTTATTACTTGTCTAGGCAATAATAGGAACCTACTATCCAAATTTCATCATACGCGGTCCAGTCGTTTCGGCTATGAGTTAATGAGTCAGTCAGTCTGTCAGTGTATCCTTTTCTCTCTTTATATAATAAATAAATTATTAAGTATAAATTTACCTAAATGTTATAACAACAAAATTTGAATAGGTACCTAGGTTATCGTCAGCCCATGTTTAGAAACACGATGACATACCTATAAGCATTCCTAATCAAAAGAATTACATCATTTTGATTTGTTTGCTTTTGAGAATTTTACTGTTAGTTTTTGTCAGGATGGGTTACTTACATCATAGTTTTGAGCGCACTCATAAAAAAAACTGGCTAAGCGCGAGTCTGGCCTCGCTCTAATAGTTCCGTAAAATCATTTGTTTGTTTTCGTCATAACTTACAGAGTAGTACATTATGAAACGATGTTTTCAGTACCCATTTCTTGTTTAAATACAGCATTCTAGTTTCTATTTTAAGAGCAATGCTGTAATATTCCGACCCCGTATATAATAGTCTAAAAATGACAAAATTGACGTACCTTTCCCCCCCTTTCTTTATTATTAAAAAAATATATAAATTACATTTGTAACCTACTCAACGTCGTAGACAATGATGTGTCACGACAAACTGGAGTAAATCTCAGATCAAATAAATTTTATTTAAGGTAAATAAGAAAATTGTTCGCATCCTTTTCATGCATGGGAAATGAAAACTAATTTAACTTAATTTATAACTAAATATTCGACTTTGGGCTAGCATTCTGCATAAGATACCAAAATTTCTGTTCTGTCGCACTCCTTTTACAATCTAGAAACCCGTCCGTGACATACGGGCAAACATCAATAGGGTTCCATTTTTACCATTTGGTCACGGAACCCTAAAAACGCAGGTCACTTCAATAAATACATTAGGTACCTGTTCTACTTTAAGCATAAATATTCCAAACTATTATTTAGAATCGCATTAATTATAAATTTGTAAATCGCATAGCTTTTCAAGAATGAACGCTTACCTTGATCAAAAAAGTTGGTAAGCTTGCAGGCTTCATCTCCTTGCTTTGCACAGAACTCTTGCGAGGTCCCAGAGCGGAGAGCTATAAGCATAGCAATCACCCAACAGCAACATTTTAGTGGAAAACAACGGTGTCCCAGAAAAGGCATGTTACCCCAAAAGCTTCCGAACATCGACTGGTATCAATGTACAGCAATAGGTATCAAATTGATTATAAAAGAAAATGTGAGAGCTGTTGCTCCATTCAATCGAAGAAAAAAACATAAATTACCGTGAAATGAAAGTGTCAGACGTTGTTCAAAAGGAAAATTCTGGTAGCCGTGACTTAACTGTAATTTGGTTGGACTAGATGACCGAAACATATTCTACTATTTGATGGTAAAAAAATCATTTCATTGAATGTAACGAAAAACTATTAGAAGTATTTGATGCAATAAAGAGTATACTATATAAAATCTTACAATTTTAAATCTAATATATACAATTCTCGTGTCACAGTGTTTGTAACAAAATTCCTCCAAAACTGCTTGCTCGATTCGTATGGAATTTTAAGTGTGTATATTTAGTAGGTTTTAGATTAGGTCGCTAACTTTTTCATACTACTAAGTGTGCGGGTATATAGTCCAGACCAAGTTTTTATGATAGAAATTGGCCAAATTTTTTTATTTATTTTTTTATAATCCGCCATTGAAATATCATACAATCCTTAATTTTCACCCTTTTACCAACAACCCCTATTATTATGGCGGTACGAAGTTCGCTAGATCAGCTAGTCTCAATATATTTCTTTGAAAAACACCTTACTGTTTCTGCTGCATTTTAATACAGAGGGGTGAAACCTTTTTTCCGAGGTACCATTCTTCTAGTTCTAAGTATTAGAAAATACAATATATTAGTAATAAAAAGATGGGAATAAATCGGTAAGGTCGCTCTCAAGGGCTGAAGGTCAAAAGGTGTTCATTAAAACATAGATATTATGTAATAAACTGCGACTAACAGCATTCACACTCAAAAAAGAAGCTACATTCTCATGGGCGTAAGGTGAAATATGTATCTACTGTTCATTACATTTCTGTTATAGGTACAATTATTTTTTTAATACTGAAACGGCCAAGCCTCATATTTTGACTATGGTTTAAAGCTAGGGCGTATAAATTAGAAGCTTAGCTCTACGTGAGATCTGATTCGTCTGATCTCATCGTGAACCCCAGGGATAATGTAGGATTCTTAATATGAAAGAATTTTTCAAATCGGTCTAGTAGTTTCGGAGCTTTTACGACGACATACAATACAAACAGAGATATCTTGCATGGAGACTTGATACATATAAATCTCTCATTTTTCTTGAGTAGCCAATATGTAACCACCCATCGAACTCGAGTGCGTCCCTTTCAAGGAGTATACGACTTAATAATGTACCTGGTTGTGTAATCTTTGATACATATGTGACGTCACGCAGTCAAGAAACTCACTAAAAACCTCACTCGAGTGCGTCCTTTTCAAGGAGTATACGACTTAATAATGTACCTGGTTATGTAATCATTGATACATATGTGACGTCATGCAGTCAAGGAACTTACAAAAAAGCCCTTAATTTGTCTTTGATAATGATTTTTTTATAAAATTATCCAAAAAAAATGTAATGTCGAGGTTTTTAACTGTAACCTCGCTTATTATTATAAAGTATGCACCCTTTCATATTAACTAGTGGTCGCATACCATTTAAAACGTAGTTCTATTGCACAATTTATAATTTTGTATTGAGCATAATTTATCACCGGGTAAACATGGTTCAAACCATGTAATAAACAGTTCTACTAACAGAATCTATAGAAATAAATCTCTCAGTGAAAGCACATTTTGTAGGGCAACCGTTCTGGCTCAATGAAACTCAGTTACCTGACTGTCTAGTGGTAGTCGTAGGTACTCAACAGCTGAACTAAAATATAATAATAGGTGGTGAAAGTGGTGATCAACGGATGAATAAATTATTGAATATTATTGAAACAAACGAGTGACTGGTTGAAAATAAGGAAGATCCTAACACTTCAACTAATTTCTCATTTCGTTACTACTAAAATGGTCAAGTCCCCGAAGCACTGTTTTTTATCGCGTCTAACCGTCGAACTCCAAAGTAATTCGACAAAATTGAGCATTATAAAAACGCTAATGCTAGGCAGAGCGAGTCAGTTTCGCACAAGAAGAGTTTAATACTGTTTGCAATACGGAATTTACGACTTGCAAAAATGACCGTTATTGCCAATCAATCCTTATGCCATTATCACATGCCCCAAAGTTTCATGGTTGTGATTGCCAGATGTTCAGGGCCCGTATGGATACTCCTGACATTTCATGTAATGTCCAGACGACCGGCAAGTAACGAAATCTCCCGACTAACGAACATGACGATACATTTACCACTCATAAAATTGTAGAGACGTGAGCTCATGAACTTATTAACAGTCCTTTTGTGGCACTGTCACTTTCGGCTTGGTGTGTGTGTAATTCTCCCAACGACAATCCCAAAATCACTATTTTTAAAAATATTATCCAGGTATTAACAATTCTTAATCTGGCGACCCTAAAGCGGATATCTCGCTCGAACTGGAATGCCCGTCTAGGGAAGAAACTAAGCCCTTACAGAAGACTACAGTAAAGGAACACTACTTTTTGGGTGTTTTTCACTATTCCAGGGCTCCACGAGCCACGGAATTGATTCGGTTCAGGTCGGCTAGAAGTTGTGAATCGAGTTGCTAATTTCATTTATTATAAACTAGCTGTACCCCGCGGTGTTACCCCCGGTTTATTTGGCATATTTTCCCACAGTAAAACGTAGCCTTTGTGTTAATTCAGGGTGTCAGCAACTCCATACCAAATTTTATTAAAATCTCTCCAACCGTTTAGACGTCAAGTAACAAACATACACACTCACACACAGGGCCGGATTTAGAGGTCCAGAGGCCTCGGGGCAACAGAGGAGCGGAGGCCCCCTCACCCCAAATTATTTCCCACTCAGCCATTAAGCGATTGGGGTACTCCCTCAAGATGGGTAGTGAATTGGAAGTGCTTATCAGTGCCATTTGAGATTTTGATATTTCACTGATTGCCTGATTGGAGTGATCAATGATTTCTGTTATTTAAGATTAATATAATCAAATAATCATGTATGTTAGATGTACAAAGTACTGTAGGCTGTAGGTAAAGGTAAAAGAGCCAAAAAAAATATCAAAGGAAAAGTTTACTAGTGTTTACTAGTTGGAATTTGAAAGATTTTCTTTCCGAAGTCTCTATTGTGGGGGCCCCCCGTTTGTGGAGGCCCCGGGGCTTTCGCCCCGGTTGCCCTCCCCTAAATCCGGCAGTGCTCACACACACAAATTTTCGCCTTTATAATATAAGTGTGATATGGTTTGTACCAATCACGACTTAATTAAATCGAATCGAGTTCTCACCTACCTAAAAATGTGTTTAACTTTTATTTTTAAGTAAATAAATAAAAATACGTTAATGAATTTTATACCCTACCTAGCGACAGATAGATTGTCCGTAAATTCTTTAACGGTTCACTTTTCGATCCATACCAAAAGATTTATGATACCACTATTTTGTATCTAAGAGTTTTACTTTAATTTCTAGTTGCCGCCGTAACTGTAACAAAAGCTTAAAGATTGACAAAATGAAACAATTTTTAACGGCTTTAAAATGTTTTTTTTTTAATACTTGTTTTACATAACTCTACGTTTTATCCTTTGAATCGTTGATTTATGTGAAAAAGTATTAAGAAAAGCATTCAAAAAGGTCTCTTGCAGCGTTTTCTGCCTTTTAAAAAGCAGTTTTATCTAATGGTGGTGAAATTACTGCTCTCTATGAGACAATGTATGTAGTATGTATGTGTATGTATGTATGTAGTAGTTATTTACATTTAATATAATATAATGAAATTATTTACCTTATAAAATAATATTGTGAAATAATTAGGCCATCAACTTTAATCACAATTTAAAGTATGTACTTATATATTTTGTCTTAAAACATTACTTCTCTGCATACAGCCGTTAAGTACGTGCCTACACATAAATAATAAAAATTTCCATTAAAATGATTTTAAATGATAAAAATGATTTTTTTAATGCCACTGTAATTATAATTAATTATCCTACCTTTGTCATATAGATCGTAAATAAACATATCATAGTACCGCACATGTACAGCTTCCCTCGAACAGTAAATTGAAATCCAATTTCTGTAATATGATTAAAGAACGTAGTGGGTGGAACCGCATCGTCCACATACTACCTGAACGTCGCTGGTGCAACACGTTTCATAATTATTCCCAGTAGAACCTTCAATAACGATGCCGAAGGATGATCCCGAGACCACAGCACTCAAGAAAGAACTAACGGATTTGATCGCTAAAGTAAAGGTAATTGAGTAAAGTTCTACTTAGATTACACACCGCGAACAAAAATTTTGCCTAGTGTATTTTCAGTTATTTGAAGACCTGCCCCCTGATTGTCTATTTCAATCATTTCAACGCTCAATATGATACTTACCTTTTCATTTGACATTTGAAAGATATTTACAATATTATTATTTACCAATATTACCTATAATTAATGGAAGATTTCTCCATGGATAATGTTTGTGATTAACTTTCAAATGTCAAATTAAAAAGCTTCTTCTTTTTAAGGAAAAAACTTTATTTTCAGGCGGAGCAAGAAAAGGGAGCTGATGCTAAACTCAATGAAAAATGTGGTGATATGTCCGACGTGCCTAAGATAAGACTTATAGTCAAGAAATCCCTGAAAGGGCACATCAATAAAGTCAATTCTGTCCACTACAGCGGAGATTCTAGGTAGGTCCACTAAAAACGACAAAACTTAGCCATACAAAATTTTTGCCATTGAAAGCGTTTGCGTGCGATCATGAATAGTTTTATAACAGCATTCTTCATTGTAAGATATTTGAGATTTTTATTGATTTAGTTTGCGAGATGCGAGTTACATAATGCTTTTCATTCGTAATGACAGTTCGAAGTTATCAGGAAATGTCGATGCTCTGTCGAACAAAGTCGAAGGCAGGCAGACTAAAGAAATGAGAAATGTTTATGACAGGCACTGCGTGACTGGTTCCCTTGACGGCAAGCTGATAATATGGGACACGTGGAGCGGCAACAAGGTGCAGGTGATCCCGCTGCGTTCCGCCTGGGTGATGAGCGTGGCCTTCGCACCTTCGGGAAATTTTGTTGGTGAGAATCTAAACTAATATAAATAAATCTAAAGAGTTTAATTTCAGTGTTTGGTAGAACGCGCTGACGGCGGAGGAGGAATTACTGGTTCGATTTGAATCAATATAATTATTTTGAGTTGTATAGATGGCACATTTATCGAGGAGGCCATATAACATTACGCTACGACCATTAGGTAATGGTCGTAGCGTAATGTTATATAGCATCAAAAAAATGTATGAAAAATGTACGTTAGTGCAAAAACGGTAAAAATTATTCCTTATTAGAGGTAGTATAGGGTTTTCCTCAAATTAACTTAGAGGCAGTAAGTAGCAGGCACAGCTAGTTTCGAACATAGGTATATGGGTCAGTCAAGGGCGCTTCGTAGCGCCTCTGTTAGCTACATTCCTAGTGCATGTGAATTCTCAGTTATAAACTCGATTGTAGTTTAATGATTTAACTACAGTCGAGTTTGTAACTGTACTACTATTCGCATCGATGCTAATTATAAAATCATATTTTATATTGACATAGTTATTTGACAAAATATTTCACTTTGATTGTACAATTTTCAGGAATAATTTGGTACCGTCCTTATTCACATTGGAAAATTTTAACCAATGTGTAAACTTTCGCTTCGTCCTCATCGTCGAACTCGGTAGACAAACTAGTTTGTTTAACAGGAATATTTTTTCCAGATGGTCAAATCGTCCACGCGTAGTCTAACTGGGTAGTCAAACTATTTTTTCCAAAAGAATGATTCCAGGCAGTAAAATTGTCTCTGATGACGGTAAAATACAGTCATTCGTAAAATTCAGTTATATTAGGAAACAAAACTTAATTTTGAAACAAAAAAACATTAAGTATAGATAATTTTCCTGATAAATGGCGTGGATATGTTATGGGCCAAGTGATTAATGCGGGCAGTATTTATAATACCAGAGCAGCATGAATAATGACCAGCCATATCGAGCCAAGTGATTTATTACAATCTAAACGCACCTATTTATCACATTGCCCAGTCATTATTAATAATGCCGGACGGCTCGTGGGCCATGTAATAAGTCAGTGTTTGAGATAGCTTGAATTTATCACTTGGACCAGGCAGTATGAATAAATTCAAAACGTTAGTACTACTGTCAAAATGACAGATGTCTCACCATTTTGTGTTTGTTTTGAGATCTTGGTTAATAAAAAAATAGTATGGGCTCAACACTTAGAAAAAAAGATAAATGTGGCTTTACAACAGTCTTTAATTCAGAACCGACTTGGCCAACCCCGACACGCCGTGGTCTTGGTCTGCCTTACCTCTAGAGTGTTGTTAAGAGCCCGGAGGCGTGGAGGGAGAGCAGCCCCCGCCTGCTGTCACGCAAAGGCGGAGGGGCTGCTATTACCGCAGCGCCGGAGATAAGGCAGAAGTACTGGTTCTTACTTCCCTAGTCCTTGCATCCTAAAAAATAGGGAACCATAAATTCTGAACATTTAACAGATTTAATGAATTTTTCAAATAAAATGCATTGAAACGACTAAAGATTATAGTTTCTAAATGTAGCTCTTCGTAAATTGATCGAAGTAAAACCGATGTCTGATTATTTAAATTTTAAAAATAAATACTAAACTATAAAACATATTTTTATTATTACTCTACGCGGTAACTGATTTCATTACTTGTAATGCTCGGTCTATCTAACTAAGTATTCATTCGAAAGACATGCTTTACATCACTCTGCCCAAAAAGCTCTGGGCATTATTCATAATGCCCGGGCAATGTGATAAATTGATTGGTTATAATCACATTGCCCACTCTTATTTGACTTTATTCATATTGCCCGGGCATTATGAATAATGCCCGACATATCACTTCGGCCATAACAGATACATCACTTAGTATGAACACGTGGATGATTTGACCATCTGGAAAAATTATTTCGGTTGGCTAAATTAGTTTAACTCAGCTATACTCTAAGTGTGTTCCGCGGAACCCTAGGGTTCCGTGATACCTCTGTCGGGGTTCCGCAAGAATTTAGAAATAAAAAAATCAAAACACCTCTCTCTGGTCGCTCCGCGGCTGTGCGGACTCCGCGGCCGCGCGGAGACAAAACGCTATGAATGTTATTTATTTATTTATTTGTATTTGTATAAGCTTGTGTTACATTAGCTGGTACAATATCTCATAAGTTTGGTCTCAACAATTTTATACTTGTACAACGCGTTCGCTCTAAGTTTGCCGGTCTGTGGAATGCGCGTACCCTCCCCCACGTGACAACAAAACTTATAATGTGTCATAGTTTTACCCAAATATCTAACGTACACAATTTTTATTGTTACAATTAAATAAAAAATTTCGAACGTCATACACTCATACCTATCGCCAGCGGCAAACTTAAAACGAGCGGGTAGTATACTTGTAAGCGCTCAGTCTCTTTGATAAAAGCCGCCTCTGAATTAGACGCTATAGTTGTCAACTAGCGACTTTCGTCTCTAACTTCAAAGGATAAAGTCGATATTGTTTACAACGCTATTTTTAAATTTCTGTTTTTATTTTTGCTTTTTGTTTATCAAAGGTGCCGACTCGAGTATTTTCGAGAATATTTGAGATCGAGTCTAGGACTAAGTATAAAAGCGGCGATCGCGCGTTGGCGTCGTCAGTTGATGATTAGCGTTCGGAGCGATAAGTTACTACCTACTTACAAGCTCGCTAGCGAGAAACTGGTGTTCATTGTTTTACTGCCTGCTGTATTCTGTTGTCTCAGTTTTATACATTTCTTCCCTGTAGGTTCTAAATTTAGTCTCTTATACGCAGTAACGATTGTGCATTATTTAAACCCCACTATCCTGACTTGTAACATTATAAATAAAGAAGAATGGAACGTTGGCTTAAAGGTGTTAAACGTGTTCCAACAACATCTTCTAATGACGCTGAATGTTCAAAAGCAATGCGCGCGGAGAATTTAGCAATCACCGATCCAGAAGATGATGCCACGAGTGCCACGACGTCAAGCTCGACGGTTTCAAAGACGAAAAAAAGGAAGTATGATGAATCTTATATCAGTTTCGGATTTGTTGATTCCAACGGCTCACCTCTCTGCATGCTCTGTAGTAAACTGCTTCCTAATAGTTCCATGGCACCTGCCAAATTGCGTCGACATTTAGAAACCGTACACCCCGAGACTAAAGACAAGAATAAAGAATTTTTTGTTCGCAAAAAAGATCAGTTATTAGAAAGTCAAAAAAATATGATGCATGTAACACAAACTACCAACGAAAAGGCCACGGAGGCATCATACTTAGTTAGCTATCGCATTGCACAAGCAGGTGAAGCGCACACTATCGCTGAGAAATTAATAAAACCATGTGTATTAGACATAACAAAATGTATGCTTGATGAAAAATCTGCAAAGCATCTTTCTACTGTTCCGCTATCAAACGATACTGTTTCACGACGAATCCATGATCTGGCAAGCTACGTCAAACAAGAACTAGTTACACGTCTACAAAATACACGATTCGCTTTGCAAATGGACGAGTCGACTGATGTCGCTGGTTTGGCTATCCTGCTGGTTATTGTGAGATATCCATATAAAAGTTCTTTTGAAGAAGACATGCTTATGTGTTCATCGCTGCTTACAAACACTACCGGGGAAGAAATTTTTAATAAAATAAATATATTTTTTGAAGAACATAATCTCAGTTGGAACAATTGCATTGACATTTGTACAGATGGGGCCAAGGCGATGACAGGTAAAACAGCAGGAGCAGTGTCACGAATGAAAAATAAAGCGCCTAATTGTAGTTCCAGTCATTGTATTCTGCATAGACAAGCACTTGCGATGAAGCAAATGCCGTCTAATCTAAAATTAGTTATGGATGAAGCGGTAAAAATAATTAATTTTATCAAATCACGACCACTACAATCCCGATTGTTCTCATTATTGTGTGAAGATTATGGCAGCAAACATAAAACACTGCTGCTCCATACAGAAGTGCGATGGCTGTCTCGGGGAAAAACTTTAACAAGGCTATTTGAACTTAGAGCCGAGTTACAAATGTTTCTTTCAGCAGATACTTCTTTTAATTTGAAGGACCGTTTGTATGATAAAACTTGGTTGTTCCGATTGTCTTTTATGGCGGATATCTTTCAAAAACTTAACGAATTAAATTTATCATTGCAAGGTAAACAGACAACAGTGTTTCAGGCCTATAATAAAATAACTACTTTTAAAAGAAAATTAGATTTTTGGATCATTTGCATTGGTAAGAAAGAAATAGAAAGTTTTACGTTACTCACTGAGTTTGTTAGCGAAAACGACTCAGAAATGTTTGAAGATAATGTGTTTGAAGAATTGGTCCAATATCTCAGTTCGATGCGCGCATCTTTTGAAAAGTATTTTCCCGAAGAACACAATACAAAAATTAAAGTGAACTCCTGGATTCATAATCCTTTTTTACCCAACTTGGAAAAGCCTGAAAACATGTCAAATGAGATATATGAATCTCTTTTAGAAATGTCATCAGACACAAGTATGGAGTCATTGTTCAAAACGACGCCTCTTAATGATTTTTGGTGCAGAATCCAAGATGAATATGCAATGCTTGGCCAAATGGCTCTGGATATTCTTCTCCCGTTCCCAACTACATATTTGTGCGAAACAGGATTCTCTACCTACGCAGCCACGAAAACAAAATATCGCAATAGACTGGACGCCGAAGCTGATATGAGACTCCAACTTTCTTCCATCAAACCTGATATCAAGCAATTGATGAAAAATAAAAAACAGTTTCATACCTCCCACTAGTTAGATTTTTTCTTTTTTAATGTTTTCTATTATTGTCCTTACCAAGTGGTGAAGTAAATAATAATTAGTAACGGATACATTGTACTTTTATTATGCTGATTAATATAGAATACACTTATAAAAATAATTGTTTTATTGTAGGGTTCCATCAAGTATTTTGCTTCCCAAAAGGGTTCCGTCATTTAAAAAGTTTGAGAACCACTGGTTTAACTGAAACCTGGTATTAAGTAGTCGCTCGTCATTATGCGTCGAATAAGTGAGAACACATCATGGGAAAATAGAGATGAATTTGCTACAGGCAAAACGGGCGAAAAATATGACGCTTCGTTTCGCTCCGACTCTGCGCCAATGGAAGTTGAGCCTATTAGTCCAGTCGGAATAGCCATAATTTGGACCGACTTCTATTCTAAGACACCAGCGCTTAGCCAGTTTTTTCCTAGGTAGTATAGACCGCCACGAATATGCCCTCCATTTGTCCCCGCTAGAACACGTGTTTTGTAGCCAGGAAAATTGTTTAAACAAAGAAAAACCGGTTTTTTTGAGTTTTTTGGCTTGTAAACGGGGATTTTGAAAATTTTTTTGAATCAAAGTTGTTCATTAGCTTGCCCTCTACAAAATTAGTTCTATGAAAAAATAACGTGAGATTGTTAGTTTAGCAGTAAATTGCAATTATGTCGGTTTTACGTTTGCAACAATTCAACATGTTTTAATAAACATTTTGATTTCTAAAGTAGTTTATCATGTGGGTAACGCCACTCCCAAGAGAGTCATGTAAAATTTATCGACCTGTGTCGCAAACTTTAGCAACAATTCTCAATCTCCGAAAAAAAAGTACTTGCCTGTCCCGTCTTTCCCAGAAGGCGCACAGCGGGAAAAAAAATTCAGGTGATTCGATTCACCAAGAATTTTGAGGAATCGGTCGAGTAGAAAAAAATCGTTAGTAAAAATGTTCGTTTTTGGACGATTTAAATTTTTTTTAAAAATTGACGTAGAATAATTTTTTTTAAACTAATGTGTTTTTCTCTCCTCAACTCGAATATACTATTCTGAATATATATATATATATATATATATATATATATATATATATATATATATAATACTAATATACCCTGAGAATTCCGATTATGAACCGGAAGAAAAAAGGACGAAATTAATTTAATTAGAAATATAGAATACAACGCAGTCTTGTAATCGAATTTTAGTTAATAGTTTTGTAAATAATTTCTGTACATAAATAAACTGAATTTTTTAAATTTTCAATCGTATATTCGAGTTGAGGAGAGAAAAATACATTACTTTAAAAAAAAATATTCTACGTCAATTTTTAAAAAAAAATTAAATCTCTTTAGATTTAAAAATTAAATCGTCCAAAAACGAACATTTTTACTAACGATTTTTTTCTACTCGATCGATTCCTCAAAATTCTTGGTGAATCGAATCACCTGAATTTTTTTCCCCGCTGTGCGCCTTCTGGGAAAGACGGGACAGGCAAGTACTTTTTTTTCGGAGATTGAGAATTGTTGCTAAAGGACATTGCTCGTTCCCCATACATTGAATGCCCTAGAACGCCCAGCAATGAGAAAATGCTAGTTGTGTTCGGAATCAGTTATAAACTCTAATTAGGCATTTGTTGAGATACGGACAACTTGAGGAACCGCGGCCTACTACAGAATGTATTAGATTTTGAGGTTATAATTATTATACTTAATCGTAAAAGATGTACATTTTATATATTCTGAATAGATTTAGTGTTTACCTCTATGTAAGCACTTAAATAATATGCATTAAATGAACATAAAATGCAATTAATAATAAAACTAATAAATGCTTATATTCATATTAATTTATGAGCGTTGTCAGTTGGCACCTATGATACCTATACCTAGGTACCTGTAGTAATAATAGATTTCTTTTCAAATGAAATGTTCAAAGGCTTTCCATTTACCTGTTTCTATATTTTACTATTGGTAATTAGGTATGTACCTGGTTATCATTATGATTTTTATAAAAATAAACATATATTACATGGGGGTATAAACTATCTTTACATAATTTCAGAAATAATCTTTTTATAAATATAATATAAATACTAGTAATAAGTATTGTTAACTAAGGTACCTAGTTCTATTTTTATGTTGATAAATACCTATGGTCGCCTGTAAACAATTTTGGCACAACTTTTTAACAGAATCACCCATTTAATAATAAAATATTCACGAAGCCAATAAACTATTAAAATAAAACGTTATTAAAGACTGAATCCAGTTATCAGTTGATTTTTAATGCTGTATTTTCAATAAAAAGGAGTGCCAAGTTGGATGAACAGACTGTAGTATCTAGTAACAGAACTTTTATTTTTTATTTTTTTAAACACTTTGTCCGTTCACTATGATTAATTGCTAATAAGTTAAAAAAATAATAGAAAAATAATAGTGAAGGACATTCTTTTGGGCATGCTAGGGCCGATTTCGTCGATGTCCTTTGCGACACAGGTCGATAAATTTTACATGACTCTCTTGGGAGTGGCGTTACCCACATGATAAACTACTTTAGAAATCAAAATGTTTATTATAACATGTTGAATTGTTGCACCGACATAATTGCAATTTACTGCTAAACTAACAATCTCACGTTATTTTTTCATAGAACTGATTTTGTAGAGGGCAAGCTAATGAACAACTTTGATTCAAAAAAATTTTCAAAATCCCCGTTTACAAGCAAAAAAACTGGAAAAAAACCGGTTTTTCTTTGTTTAAACAATTTTTCTGGCTACAAAACACGGGTTCTAGCGGGGACAAATGGAGGGCATATTCGTGGGGCTCTATACTACCTAGGAAAAAATTGGCTAAGCGCTGGTGTCTTAGAATAGGTCTCATGTTTATTCCGACTGGACTATATAAAGTAAGAAAGAGGTCATGCAGCCAATACCTTTACTATACAAACTACTGGCCGCATATTTGCTTTGTCTCTCCCTCACTTGAATTGAATAAGGGATTCTCAAGAAAACCCTTTGTCTATGTTTACGGTAGAATTGATGGGGAGAGTATATGTTATGTTATGAGGGTGACATTCAAGCGTATGGCCCGCTTGATGGTAAACGGCCACCATAGCCAATAGACACTTGTAAAACCAAAAATATCACATACAATATTACATGTCTTGTTTAGCATGCGGCGGTATGGACAACATGTGCACCATCTACGATGTGAACAACCGTGATGCGACCGGCGCGGCCAAGATGGTGCGAGAGTTGGCCGGCTACGAAGGCTTCCTCAGCAGCTGCCGTTTCCTGGACGACAAGCATATCCTCACCGGCTCCGGCGATATGAAAATGTAATCGTATAAAGTTTGTGTGTGTCTCTATACCCGCTAACTCCACAGTGCTTGCTATCACAGAACACACCACTGTCTGTGTTCTGTGCTAACTATTAATTTGTTCTACTCTCAGACTATCGAATTCTTCTAAACCTTGCGTAGAATAGGGGAAGCTGGGGTCCAAGCCTTGACCGTTGCACCAACCTGTCGAGTTGAAGTAGTCTGGAAAAATAACGTCCCCTTACAGAAGACTACAGTAGAATAACACTGGTTTTTGGTGGTATTGTGTGTCTGTCGATGAAAATGGATTCAGTATCTACTTTTTAAAGTAGTAATATTGCATATAATTCTAGTTATGATTGCATTTTGTCGATATCAAAGTGAGGATGGCTGGAGCAGCAGATTTTCCTGTCCTATCAGCTATCTTCGTGACTGGACTCCATCTGCACTTAACTGCATAATGTGCTGCTTTATAATGTAAATTTATTTTTTCAATGCACTAGTTCAGAAAGTTTTTATTTCTAAGTATACACATTATGCTGAAAGTGACTCTTTTCTGCACGTATGCGATTTTTTTTAATTTTTGATCCTTGCGCCACTCTCTAGCGCCACGCAGGTCAGTTAGAACTTTTAATGTAACCTTTGATAAGTTGCCTTTGTTTTCCTTGGTTCCCATGTTCCGGAGTAAAACATAGTTCCATTTTAAATTACACGACAGATATGAGTTCATTAGTAATTTAAATAAATGGGCTCTTTTTTATTTTATTTCCTCGCAAAATACATTGAAAAATGTTGTATGACACGCGAGCGTAAATAGTTATTTATTATACAAGAGTGGAAAGTTCCTTTTTAACCGCGTGCTCGATTTGGATGACCGAGCAAGCGAAGGATTCTAAAGTTGAATCACGAGCGCAGCGAGTGATTCTAAATTAGAATCCTGAGCGTCAGCGAGGGAAACAAACGAGCACAAGGTGAAAAATCTTTCCACTCGAGTGCAATACGTAACTTTTCATCCCACCTCAGCGAGGAAATGACAAAATGAAAAAGAAAACAATTTATAATGACAAAATATTTTTATTTCAATTAAAACACATTAAGATAATCTATAAATTGAAGAAAATAATAAGAAGTAGAAAATAATTAAGAAATATTAAATGTAACGTTGCTACAGTTACTTATGTTAAGTTTAATATTTTTGTTAGGTAATGTTATGTTGGTGTTTGTGAATTGTGCGCTGTTTTGTGGTAAACTACTCGTATCAGTAATTTTAAATAGTTGTGCCGATTCATTGGATTCTATTGGCGTAAATGTTGGCGAGAGAGGGCTATTGTTTCCAATCTTATGGGGGCTCATTTTAGATGTAGAAGGGCGAGACCAAGAATCTGACAGAGGTTCTTTCAGCGTTATGGCCTCCACGATACTATTACAAATTTTTGATTTACTTTGGATTGAATCCTCTATGTATCCCTCTACAACCGAATTAGACTTCCAGCCTCCATGGCGCTTAAGCGATAGAAGATCAGCCCCTGATTCGGCCAAAAGTGTGGCTGAGGTTCTTCTAAAACAGTGACCGGTGTATAACGGGGGTTCTAAAAGTCCGAGAAAAGTTGCTATTTCTCGTGGAATACTGCCAATTTTATTCTGACCCATAGGTTGTCGGATACACTTTCCGTTGCGATATTGTAGAAAAAATCGTTCAATTGGGGTGTTAGAAGGACGTAAAGCTTGATATTTCTGAACAATGTTTACATATTCCTTGCGAATAACGAAGTTGCGGTCTTTTTTTGTCTTGGTATTTAGTACATTAATTAATAGCAATTCATCAGAATTATGAGAATATTTTGATACGTTATTGACATTAAGTAGTGTAAGTTCATTTGTTCGACATGCTCCGGTTATACCAATAATAAGAACAACCTGTAACAAAAGAAGTATTTATAATCGTAAATAAATTAATCAAATTAAAAATATTGTAAGTACTATGTACAATTTTATCAACAACAAAAAATTACACGTATTGACTTACTTTTGCCGCTAAATATACGGAATCAGGTGCTTCATTAATAAACTTTGCAATTTCAGATGCTGTGAAAACCTTCGATTTTTTTGGTTTATAACCAGATGAGGCTCTTTTTAAAAATGCCACTAATTTATGATAGGTGTCGATATGAACGTCTTTCTTCATCTTAATTGTTAATTTTAGCATTGAATACGTACTCCATAGCGTGCTTGCTTTCTTGGTCTCAGATAATTCTATAAAATATGCCAGCAAAACGTTTTCGGAGAAAGTTTTTGCTCCTTTAGCTAGTCGCCACATGTTAAATATATCGTACTGTTTCAAATACTTCTCTCGTGATTGCTGAGGGAGAAGGCTCATTTGCGCATTATTAACTGTTTCAGTTAACTCAGTTGGCGTTAGATAAACTTCATCGTCGCTAATGTCACTCATTTTAGTTGATTTTTTTGTACAGTTTTTAGGTTATGTTAATTATATTAAGCAATAAAACGTGAAAAACTAGAATGGCGCGAAGCACGCAAATAAAACAAAGAAACCAAGAAGGTTCCAAATTTAATTTTTTTCACAATTTAAAAAGTTCTAATCATAAATTTGGCACCATAGAGGTTACATTAAATAGGTTTAATGACGTTTTGAATTTACAATTATATTGAGTACTCATTATATGTGATGTTCTAAATTCAAATCTACTTTGCCGCTCAAGCGAATAAAATAGAATTTTCCAGCCAGATTTCGAAGCGCAAAATTACACTTTCCGAGGTGGTGGGATGAAAAGGTTATTTATTACATATTACCACTGATGTGCGGTATTTATTGCTATTACATGTTGCTTTAAACTATGTGATACTTATTCGTAATAACCCACTTTCCGCACGTGTTTCATAAATAACTATTATCTACACCCATGCTTTAAAACCTCTATTAAAGATGCTAAAACAGTTACTTAATTGCCAACAATAAAACATCCAACGTTATAATAAAAAAAACCATTATAACACCCGGTTGAGGGTTATATTGTATGTTGTACAAAATATCATAATTTAACATTCCTTCGCTTTTTAAATCCCTTCCGCGCCAAGTGCTTATTCATGAGACAGCCACATTTTTCACTGCTCGATGCGTGGTTTAATGAATTTAAAAAAAAACATTGTGCTTCACGCGTTTTGCACTACCATAGCGCCAAAACTTTTCATGTATTTTAAGTTCAACGCCCCATGCTCTCAGACTCTTTTATATCTAGAGGATTCATATCGCGGGTGTAGATAAAGTCTTGTATGCAACTGTTTATAATAATATCCGTCATTATACAACAGTTCCATTAATAACTATTTTGCAACTCTGCAGATGCGTCTGGGATCTGGAAGCCGGCAAAAGAACCATGGAATTTGATGCTCACGCGGGAGACGTAGTTAGCATCTCCTTATCGCCAGGTAACTTACCCAAATAGCATATTCTTTTAACCGTTTTTAAATCTTAAGTTATTCACCCCACCTGATATTAATAGCGACCGGATATCTCTTATAATAAAAGTATCTAATAGCTATATCTACTTGTGGAGTTACCTATATGCAGCTACTTGCCATGCTGAACCGAACAATAGGAAAAAAGTACACCAGGTGCGGCTGAACGTGCCTTTTACCTATCTTAAGTGTGGCCTTTACTAAACTTCCACAATCACAGACTTAACGAGTTGACCACTGCGCCATCAAACTCCTCCACTTTTGACGTCTACTGTATTTACCTAAATGTATAGAACTATATAATAGACCAACATTTTTCCTAATGCTTATCTCATAATCTTGCGAGCTTGTTGTAAGTGCTTCATCTCTGGTCCAATCATCTGCCAAATTTTGAAATGGCGATTAAACCTGCATGATACAATTATTTGAATTAACATTATATTTTTACACATTAACAGTATTGTATTTAACGGGCGTTAGTTAAGGCATGTTTTCTCCAAACAAAGCGGTAAAAACATTGATTTTCTTCAAAGAAAGTTATTTTTCTTAGAAGTTAACAAGTGACAATGTTTTCATTCCAGATATGAAAACCTACGTGACAGGTTCTGTGGATAGAACCTGCAAGCTCTGGGATGTACGGGAAGATAAAGCTAAGCAGACCTTCTTTGGTCACGAAGCAGATGTAAACAGCGTATGCGTAAGTTTTAACATTATAGCAGTAGTTTGCTGAAAACCACTTGACATAAATATTTAAATAAAAAACAGCTAACGATATAAAAGGTTCTTGCTTTGATTATAATCAAATGGTTCTTGCTTAGAATCATTCATAATTTTAAACAATTGTACTACTTACGAATTAAATCCAGCATTTCAAACACAACAATCACCAACATGAACATAAAGAATGTGTATGTAAACAATTATGATTGTAAGATACACATATAAGCATACATTATTGTAAACAGTGAAAAACCGCCTGTTAACATAATATGACAAGTACACATCAATGTACTTTCTTAGATATTTATTTTAAATTGTTTCCATCTTCGTGCCGCTGCTATTGTATAGTAATTTTGGATTTCAGTTCCACAATGGCGGGCAGGCATTCGCAACTGCTTCCGAGGATAAAACTGCTCGATTGTTCGACATTCGCAGTGACCAACAACTAGGCCACTACACACCTCCTGGAAATTGCGGATTCACCAGCTGTGGCGAGTAGCTTATCAACATCATCAGCCTATATATGTCCCTAATGTCCCTATTAATGAAAATGTACTGCTGCGGCACAGGCTTTTCCTATGGATGGGATAGGGAGATTTAGAAATAATGACCCACTACGCGGGCCCAGTGCGGATTGATGGGTGCTATCGACAGCAGATGCAGTGGGGATGCTTAACGTGCCTTCCGAAGCACAGAGGAGCTGGATTTAGTAAATTTTTAGTCACCCATCTACAATGACCTACCACTGGCGCAAGTTGCTGAACTTCAACGATCGCAGCCGAACGCGATAACCACTTGAGCCCTCGAGCTGCTCAAGTATCTTATACCTTAACACATTACGTGCCTGTTGTTATTTTCTGTCGAAATCTTTCGGAGTTGGAAACTTATTAAAGTTGTTAAGCTATTTCACCTGGAGGCCTACTCTATTTCAACGAAAAACTAAATTTCGATCGAAATTTCGCACGTTTCTTACTCTGTTTCCTTTTCATTTCGAAAATTCGTTCGTCCGAAAATAGATTGACAACTAAATTCTCCAAGCCTACTCTAATTTACAAAACTTTCAAACTAAAAGTTGAATTTGACATATAATTGTTCGAAATTTTAACCTTGAATTGACGAAATGAAAAGTGTTACCTTTTCATTTTCGTTTTGGAACTTTTGTTTAAATTAAGCCTAAAATGACTGCTAGAGTATTTTTAATCAAGGCTGCTTCTTAGCATGAGGAACTTTTTTGCATGTCAAATAAACAAATACACCAAATAATTAATTATTGTATTTCCAATACTTCAAAGTATTAAACGACAAATTTAGGTTGACATTCAATGAAGTGCATCAACTCTACAAATTAATAATATAATATGTAAAAAAAGGTAAATATAAAAAATCAAAAAACCCGACTGCTTAATTATTCTTCAAATAAAAACTGAAAAGAAAAAAACAAGTCCAGTAGTCTATAATTCTGTTAATAAGGAACAAAGCTACTTTAACAGTCGGAACCCATTAGATATTCAAGAATACATAATATTTTTCAACAGTGGGTCCCGACTGTTAAAGTAGCTTTGTTCCTTATTAACAGAATTATAGATTACTGGTCTTGTTTTTTTTATTTTCAGTTTTTATTTGAAGAATAACTAAGCAGTCGGGTTTTTTGATTTTTTAAATTTACCTTTTTTATTTCACACTTAATAGTTAGTATTTTAAGACGGTATATACCGTAGTCTTGTTACTTCAGTAAGGGAATTAATATCGCGGGAATTGTTAAGTACCTTGCGTCGGTCTAAAAGATTGATTTATTAAGACATATAAAGACTTTACCAGCGAGGTCAAGGCTACAGATGGGCCTCAATTTTCGCAAAAATGTGTGAAGTTAAATCAAGTCGTTACATAAATATCTCTAATGTATGTAAATTTTATAGTAAACTACCACTTACTGAAAAAGTCATCTTTTGTTTATGTTTTTTTAATAGTTTAGCAGTAAATATAAAATTCATTTAGTTTTATTCGTCGACTATTTAAAATTGGTAGTGGCTGCATTGTCATGTCAATGCCGGACATCTAACATTGTGATATATACACAAATTCAGTGTCAGTCCCTAGTCTCATAATTTGATATACCTACATAATTCACAGAAACCCAATATGTAGATGCCAGAAGTTAACTTCAAATGTTTTTAATCACCCTATATACAATACCAATCAATGACGTTTATGTCGCAGGTTGAAGAAAGAAGTAATTCCCGTCTGTTGTTTTGGACAATGGTGGCAACTGCCTTAGATCACTAAATTAAATAATTATGCAATCACCAAAGCAAAATTTATAATATTTGATTAAACTAAAGGCGCATAATAAAATTTTCATAACGTTAGGTAGAGCACCATAGCAATCTCATTTATTATCAATTTATAGTTCTCTTTGTAGTTTTCTTTTAAAGTTTTCACATTTAGGTCAAAGACTTTGTGTTCGACCCTTTTTTATTGGTAGTGTAAAGCTCGAATGAAGAGTACTCCCAGTAGTGCAATCATGGCAATTATTTTCCAATTTTTTTTTGTTATAAAAATACCGAATAACGTATCACTGTTAAGCACAAATGCTAAGTAACTTTTACAAATATAATCAAATAAACCTATTACTTACTTTATTTTTAAATCTTTTTCATCAATTAAATACTTATCTTATCCTAACTATCTATACTAATATTATAAAGAGGCAAGATTTGTATGTTTGTAACAAATAATCTGTCAAACTACTGAACCGGTTTCAAATATTAATTCATCATAAGGTAGCTACATTATTTATTATAACATTTTTCTTTATTTAAATACAAATGTATGTCTGAGTGACATAGGCTATGTTTTATCCCGATAAATAAATTTCGCCCGTACAATGCCCGGGTGGATCACTAGTAAGTATAATATAATATTATAGATGCGAAAGTGAGTTTGTTTGTTGCGCTTCCGTGCCCTAATAGCTAAATCGAATATAATGAATTCCCATATAGAAGTAGATGGGAACTTGGTTCTTAGCTACAACATCGCAATACTTATAGGCGTAGGGTGATGAAAGGGGTGATTTACCTATAAAAATCTACATTATTTACTTTGAATTTTGCAGAATTATTACAAAACCAATATTATCGCGAGCTGATTAATAAATACAGGGATTCCAATAAGTATGTACTTACTAGCGAAAAATGGGTTATTTGTCATTATATTAAGTAAACTTTTTTTTGTAACCTTAAGTAATATCGTTAAAAAAATGAAAAACAGTAATGTATGTATGAATCATCAAAATCGGTCCAGGCGTTTGGTCTCTAGTGTGCCACAAAGGAACAAACATACATATATAGACTGTTAAACACATAACCCTGTCTGCGCGTCGTGCTTCGCGCTCTTGCATTGCGCAGCCGGGTAATAAGGATCAGGTCAGTAAATCAACTCAAAATCAACAGTATAATGATCTATAAGCTTTTTAATTAATATTCTTTTTAAATCATCGAAATCGGTTCATTCGTTGCGATTTTATAACTAATTTTATGGTAGCCGAAACGTGTGACGCCACAGACCTCGATCGTGGTTCACTCCGGTCGAACTTTAGTAGCGTCTCTACGCACGCTCGCGCCCGAGCGCTAGAGCTCTGTGACATCACAGTCACCACACGGCCAGCCAAAAATTCATTCAGTAATTTGGTCATATCTTCGTCAATATTTGTCGTAGAACAAAAATTTAACCACTGTGTATTATGGGATCCTTAGTTCTATAAATCTGCATTCTCAAATAAAATCGTTACGGATCCTTATTTGTGGCAAATAAATAAATACCCCAGAGATTTTTTAATAGAGTCATCGGTCTTTCATTCTCGTTAGAAGAAAGTCCAGTCTTGTTCTAAATTTGTTTAGGTGTCATTTTAATAATTTAAAAACGTTTTATTGCAGCTCTGTCCCTCAGCGGAAGATACATCATGGCTGGTTCCGACGACAATAGTGTACATTCCTGGGATGCACTCAAAGTATCCCACACAGGTATTCGACATTTAATTATCCTTTGTCTTATTAGTTACACCATTTAAATAGCGTTTTACATAGACCAAACATAGAAAAATATTGTTTCTTAGAGTTTTGTACCCCGAAATACTGTAACTTAAAAGCAACGTATTAGATAATTTGCATAAGCTGGGAACAACGGCTTAACGTGTCTTCTGAAGTACGGGGACACTGGCCATGTCGATAGTTCCTCAACTTCCACTATCGCAGTCTATACGCTCTTAACACTGCGCCATCGAGCTTCACTTTCTACATTTGTTAAATGATAAATCATCGTCTTTTAGGTACACTCTCGGCTCATGAGAACCGCGTCACGTCAATATCGCTGGCACCGAATGGAGTCGCCCTAGCCAGTTGCTCCTGGGACCAAAGCGTCAAAGTCTGGGGATGAAACATCAGCCGCGCGGAATCTGAAAACCTGACGGACCTAAGAATATTCTAGACCTATTATGATATTAATTTATCAACAGCCCCGCATTAAATGTTCAAACTTCATAAACTGCATTTCTATTGTCATTCTTCAGGAAAGGCATCTACCAACAATAAGACAATCAATACAAGCACAAACTCCTATTGTTTACAAACTTGAATACAAATCGATCTAAGTATTCATACATTTCAGCATAAGAGCTGTGTTGCATTACAAGTTTGCTCATAGGTTCATTATGACATTTCATCCCTTTATAAGAAAAAGAACACTAGGAAAAGGTTTTTGTATATTCATAATAATTCTGCTTATACTGAATTACATTTTCATTATTGACATTCGTAATAATTTGGAAATTGTTCGAGTGAAACGCCAACCGATGGACAAAGTTAATTATTCGTTAATCACTTTTCAAAATAAAACTAAATACATACTTTTGTGGACAAGAGCATCTGCGTCTCCCTTTGTGTATTTGGAAAAAGGTAATTCTGTGTTTGTGAAAAAGAACTGCGAGTGGAAAAATTGTTTTGTAACCAATAACCCCGGTTATCTTGGAGATGTAACTGAATTCGAAGTTATAGCATTTAATGGACCGCAAATATCGCAAATGATAGCGCATAAGAACATACCGTTACGACGTTCGCTATCACAAAAATACGTATACGCTAATATAGAATCGGCCGCAAATTATCCTATATGTACTGAAGTGTGGAATGAATTTTTCAATTGGACTTGGACTTACAAACTAGATTCAGATGCATTATGGGGATATTTTGCTATACGAAACTTCACTAATCATATCATTGGACCCAGTAAAAATATAAACTGGCTCAGTCAAGATGCAATGGTTGACATCGACGAAGGCTTCAAAACAAGACTCAAAACTAAAAACAGAGCCGCAGCTTGGTTTGTATCTAGCTGTGTTTCATCAAGTATGAGAGAAGAATACGTTGAAAAATTGCAAAAACATTTAAAAAGATACAATCTAATGATTCATATTTACGGAAAATGCGGTGAATACGACTGTCCCGTGGAACAAATGCCTAAATGCCTCAAAATGTTGCAAAGGAATTATTACTTTTATTTGGCTTTTGAAAATGCTCTAAGTGAAGATTATGTAACAGAAAAAATTATCTATGCACTTCAGCATGATACGGTGCCTATAGTTCTCGGGGGAGCCAATTATTCCAGGTATGTCATTTATATTACATACTAATGGTAATCGTTAGTCACAAAACTAGTCGTAAAGTCTTTTACATAACAAGTACTTCATATACTTCATCTAAATAAATAATCCTTCTATGATTGATTACACCATAGATGAATACTTTTCAACAAAATAATGTTAATGAGGCGATCTTTAAAATACAAACCTAGATTATTATAATCATGTTTATTGACATATTATTTGATTTTTATTGACATAGTTATTAATTTTTATTGACATATATTATTAATTTTAATTATTGACAAATTTAATTTAATAAACGAATATCCATAATAATAATTACAAAATTAAACGAGTACTGTAAATAAGATCAATTGAGTGAGTTATAAAATTAATAAAATCAGATGGCAATTATGCATGCTTTGAGAAAAAAAAGTTGTTTAATAAAAATTAGGTTCTTGATATAGATAATTGTTTATTTGTTAAATTCTCTTTTGTAATTTTTATCTATATTGCGATACCCTGACAGGGTTCATGTTAGGTACTTTATGCATTTTGTAACTTGTAACCATCCATGTAACTACATGAGTGCAATAAATTGAATTAAATACTTCTAATTATGCAAAAAGTGTAAGCCCCAATCTGTTTGTTCTAAAGACCAACTGATCCACATAGAGCAAAATAAATTAATGAATGATTTAAAATAACTGAGATATATAATATTGAGAGCAAGTACCCTCAGCACGAACCAATATCAAATTCATAATGTTTGCGAGTCCGAAATGTCATTGTCAAATGTGTACTGATTTTTATTTCTCGTTTCGTATTTTGTGGCACTGCTGTTCAAGTTTCCATACAAAATTTGACATGGACATTTCGCACTCGCAAACTATTCGGATTCGATAATGGTTCATGCCAGGGGTTCAGACCTCTAGATATTATTGACAATCGGCGACAATTAAATCTTTTATAGCAATACGAAGGTTCTTATTATCTCAGTTATATATATCGTGAACAAAATGAAAAACTGAAGTAATATAACGACATTTTCATTGAAAATGTAATACAGTCACTTATATACCTTGTCGCTATTTGATACTTCCAAATTACCCATGCTAGACTTGCTTTTTAAATTTCAGGTTCCTGCCTGATGGTAGTTATATGAATGCTGCAGAATTGAAGCCAGCGAAACTTGCCATGAAAATATATCAGATCATAAGAAGTCCTACATTGTATCACAAGTTTTTCCGATGGAAGAATTATTATTCTTATCATTTCCGTCACGAGAGTCCACAGACTGATGACTACTGTAATTTTTGCGCGATGTTAAATGACGAACATTTAATGAAATCTACAACGATTTACGATAACTTCAACTATTGGTGGACGGGTGCTAACATGAAAAATATTTGTCATTCTACATTAGATTCAGGAGTGTATTATTGATCTCATGCTTTTAAACTATTTTTTGATGTTAAAAGGTTTATAAAGTCAAGAAAAGGTTGTCTTTTTTGCGTAGAAACAATCGACCGCAAAGAAACCCAGTCACCCGCTAGTATCTTGGAACTCTGATTCGATTTTCTCAAAAAGTATACAACTTACAATTATCAAATTTATACCTGCAGAAAGTGCGTGTCATGATGATTAAAAATAATATTTTTTTATTCTAAAGTACTGTCAACTTACTGTGTAATCAAGCAAGAGACACAATGATAACGATTTGCTAATTTTGAGTAGTTGCGATTAATGTTCTTTTTTATTATAAAATTAAAAAGTCTGATACTTCTCATCATTTCTTTAGTTTATGTCCATAATTTTCTCAGACGTGTGTTTTCTTGCTATTTTCTTACTACCGATTAACACATTAGGAAAACGACCTCTTCGTAACAACGCTTCTCCGAGGAGTCTGTTTATAGTATACAATTAAGTCACTTTTTATAGCAGACTAGAAAACCCGGCAGATGTAGTTTTGCCGTAAAAACTATATAAACTTACATAACATCAAATCAGAGTTCCGAGGTAGCAAGTGACCCGATTAATTTGCTCTCCAGTGTCTAAAAAGTTTTTATTTTCAATTGGAGTACAACGTAGACAGAAAAAATACAAAAAAATAACGTAATTATTTATTAAACAACTCCCACTGTAACAACCTACTCATTAATACAGCTCTAGATTAATTAGTAATCTAAATACACAGATTGTAATAGCTCTATTGTGAAATAATGACATAAATATGAGCAGGAATAGTTTAATACTGATTTTGTTATGTTTCTTTTATAGGTCATACCTTAAAAGTCAATTCAAATAAACACTACAAATTCTCTTACAAATTCTCAATGTGTGTATTACAACTCATCCTTAGATATGTGTTTATTGAACCATAGTGGCATGGAACCCCAAACTCGTGAACGTGATGCCAAATTCTTCTTCATAGTCAACTCCCTACCAATATCCATGTAATCAAAATCTTTGGACGCTGTATTCCATTTGGCTGATACAGCCACTGGTTTATTGGGATTTCTGTAAGAACATTTTTAAGTTAATCTTTATCATCATCATCCTATTAATGTCCCCACTGCTGGGGCACAGGCCTTCCCTATGGATGGAATAGGGAGATTGGGCTATGACATGACCCACCACGTGGGCCCAGTGCGGCTTGGCGGGTGCTAACGTCTGCAGATGCAGCCGGGACCAACGGCTTAACGTGCCTCTTACGGAGGACGGACTATGGAACTTAACGGAGGAACTCGAGATAGAAGATTTTTGGTCACCCATCCAATGACCGACCACTGCGAAAGTTGCGTAACTTCAACGATCGCAGCCGACCGCGCTTACCACCTGCGCCATCGAGCTCCTCCCAATCTTTATACTATATTGATAATATTCTATCTTAAAGGTAACACAGGCCGAAATTTTTTATGTCCCACTAGAGGTCGCCCGCGACTTCGTCTGCGTTAACTAAGTTTCTTGGAAATCCCTCTGGAACCTAACATTTTTTTCGGGATAAAAGTAGCCCATGTGTTATTCTGATCTATAAGCTACATTACTGTAAAGTTTCATTAAAATCCGTTTAGTAGTTTTTGCGTGAAAGAGGAACAAACATCCATCCATACATCCATCCAAACAAACTTTCGCCTTTATAATATTAGTAAGGATATATGTGGGGAATGATGTAGAAGTCAAGTCCACAATAAGATTTAGGATTTACCAATCACGATATATCTGGCGCTTTAAAAGCAAAAAAAAAAGAAAGGTAATGTCAGAAGCCGTAACAACCTTCGAAAATGTATGATGGAGTTATAAATGTGTGTAATAAACGAAAGATTCGTCTGAAGTTCATAGAGCGAAACCGTGCGTTTGCTTTTTCTGCCAACCCTACGCAGCGTGAGTTTGTTTTATTTGCAAATTATATGTTTCTTTTTTTATGATCGAAACTCTGATATACCTACTATTCTTTTTTAAACTCATGCTCATTCTCAGCTTGTATGTTGATCAGATGAACAAATATAATCAAGGTTGACTTAAATTATGGACCTCGTATTAAGGTTTCCTTGAATACAGGAAAGCAATTAGAATTTTCAAGAATTTCTTACCCACTCTTGGCGAAGTTAGTCCACATTGTTCTTATAACTCTACCAACTTCATTGTCTTTCTCAGAAAACGGTTTTGACAGGAAATGTATTGGGAAGAGGTGCATCAGCTCATCAGCATGGCACACACCTGTAGACATTGTGAATTACAACTAAATTTTAGAAAAAACCGGCCAAGTGCTTGTCGTGCCATGCGCAATGCAGGGTTCCGTAGTTGCAAATCGTAACCACAATATATTTGAGCAGGAGTCTTTATTTTATGTATCGGAAATTAAGAAAATATTTTTTTATATAGTTATTATTTTATTTTTATAAATGCAAGGTTTAGCGCTACAATAACTTCATCTATGTCACTGTTATTGTTTTCTTCTAAGGAATTTTCAATAGCAATTTTCTTTAACCAAAGCTGACTATTGCTCTTAAACTAACAAATCTATCTTATAATTTTCCTTTAAAGTTCATGAAAAGCACTATTATCATGAAATTTTCCAAGTTTTCCAAGTCAGTAGTTTAGCTTTTAGAGGGGGGGGCGGGTTGTCGGCGTGATTGATATACATATCTACATAAAATTACAGCTCTCTAGTGCTAACAGTCTCCAAGCAACACCAGGGACGGACAGACAGACGGACATGACGAAACTATAAGAGTTCCTTATCAGGACTACGGAACCCTAAAACGGAAATCTTCTTATCATATAAAACACATAAATTGTTTCTACGTTATGTCCGTAAAAGACTTTGAACCCATCCAACTAATGTGACCAAACAAGGCACATGTATCATTTGTCTGACGAGATATATAACACCACAAAGGACATAACAGTAAGATTACACTGACAGAGAGACATTACACAATGGGCGGCCTTATTACTTAATAGCAATCTCTTCCAGGCAACCCATGACAGAAAAATATAAGTATGTAAGAACAAATATATAAATATAAAAGAGACATAAAAAGGTGCTTACCGTAATTTCCTTCGGGATCTCCGAATATTTGTGAGAAACTATTAACGGCTCTATACGTCAGCTCATAGAGGTACACCGGCGACTTTCCGTGTTTGAGGACGTCTTCTACAGCCTCCACCATTGGGTAAGCAAAATAAGAGTCGGTGTAGATCTGTAATACATAATAAACTATTTAAATATATAAAACTAGCAATCCACACTGTTTTTGCAAGTGTGAACATTATTTGAGCGCTCTATAATATAGCCTATGTTACTCAGGGATAATCAGTGGAGGATTTACAAATTTTCAAAGTACAGGCTGTACAGTTTTTGCCGCCCTTGCCTCTACAATTGTCATGTCTTACATTTATTTTTATAATCCAACAATTTCGTTTGCACTAAATTTTTTTGGATATATTTTTGAGCTAATCACAGCTCAATCATGCACGGGTAATGTACTCGTATGTATGCTAATAACACAATTATGAACATTTGGTAAACGTGAATAAATGATCTTATCAACAAATTTGCTCCAAAATTCATTTGCGGAGGTTTTATAAATTGTACGAAAGTTCAAAATTAAAAACGGTAAAACATTTACCGCACGCTCCGAAACATGGCACCGTGTGTATCCTTTACGGTATTTTTAATTTCGGTCGATCATCCTTGGAATAGTTATTTAAGATATTAGTGCGGTAAGTTGCTTATTACAAACGAGTAGACAAATGTAATACTTACCATAGTCACGAGTTTGTAAGTACAAATTCCCCACGAATATCATACCTATAACGTTTACGTTGTATGATATACGTAACGTTTACGAACGCGTAACGTGCCGTTACGTGTACAAACGTTTTTTAGAGGTACTGAGAAAACAGTACCATTAACTAATTTAAGTATTGAAATGAACTTTTTCTATTAGTGAGAAGGGGGAAATTTTCTACAATTTCGCTCTTTTCACTCATACAACGTGTGGGCAGAAGGAGCAGGGGCTTAGCTCTTTTCACTCATACAACGTGTGGGCAGAAGGCGCAGGGGCTTATTACTGCTTGGGGGGCGGCGAACTAGCTGTTTTACTCTAGAATTTGGAAATATGCTACTTTCGGAATGTACAATGACAAGTGAGAAAATTGTCGACAAAATTTGTAAGACATCGAAAAACTGTCATGCAAAAATCTTTTTGATTTCTATGAGGAAGGAAAAAAAATCGGTCCCCAAATTTGCCGCCCTAGGCTCAAGCATACTCAGCTTGCTGGTAAATCCGCCACTGGGGATAATAAAGTATTCTATTAGTGAAAAATTCTTTTAAATCGGTCTAGTATTTTTTGAATTTATTTGAGTATACAGGGCGTCCCACGGCTACCTCACACGGAGGTAAAGTATACTAAATATTGAAGATAGGATATTTTACTGAAAGGAGACATCATTTTATTTTTATTAATTACTAGAACTGCATACGCAGATTTTTTTAAAATCGCCTGTTACAACCGGGAACGAACTCGTGAAATTTCGAAAAAAAAACACGTCATATTATGTGTTCCATTTTCGAATTAATATTATTAAAAATTTCTGCCAGTCGCATTGTAACTGAGTTCAAAAAGAAATGCATACGTACTACAGTTTGTATATCACTTTATTATTTTTATCACATAATTCACATTCCTTTCATTTAAAACGCTATGTTATTTAGCAAAAAATAATCCTTATGATTAACCCTTTCGATGGTTATCATAAAATATGCCGTGTTATTTTTTTCGATATTTCACGTGTTTGATTCTCAGTTGTAGCAGGCGATTTGAAAAAAATCTGTGAATGCAGATCTTGTTATTATTAAAAATAAAATGATGTCTTCTTTCAGTGAAATGTCCTATCTTCAATATTTAATATACTTTCCCTCCGTGTGAGGTAGCCGTGGGACGCCCTGTATATAGTCCTTAGTTTTACTAATATATAAAGTAAATATATATTAGTAAAGATAAGGACGGTACAGTTTCAATAACGTGTTAGGTAGTACTCGTGAACGTACGATATATTCTAGCAGTGCGATTAACATATTCAGTTAATAAATCAAGTAAGTAACTTACATCTAATATACCCTGCTTAATGGCAGCAACATCAGGATCATTGAGATAGGTGTCTCTGATCATTTTCGTTATTCTTTCTTTCTTTGATACCGAATTGTAATAAAAGGTGACAGGTGCTATTGTAGAAAACTTATTCATAAACTCTTGGAATCTAGTTTCATTTGATGTTATCCCTAAAATCATAAATGGTTGTTATGTAAATATTATGTGTGCATCAGGCGCGATCGCAGGCTTGAAATTTTGGAGGGGTTCACTAAACTTACGACATGTGGGGTACATTAGTAAATATTTGCTCTCTGAGTTTTGCCAGAATATTCAGGAAAGTATTTTTATTTGGATGGAGACCATTGTCACAATCGTCGATGAATGAATGCATCGCGGCTGCAATCTGCAGAAGATTTTCAATGGGACGTGTTAATTTGGGGGAGGTCATGTTCCTAGGACCACGCTTGGAGCGCATACACAATATAATAAATCATTGATTTGCGTTAGAATCAGATGACTATTCTGTGATGTATCCTCTTAGTTTATGGAAAGATTATCTGAAAGAGTTCGCTTTACAGATATGAATACCCGTTGTTACACTAGAATCAAACAACGCTGTACTATATCTGTGATCTGCAATTTTAATGCAATAAATAATATTTTCAAACCAATACAACAAGAGAGTTAGGGCATAGTGGATTTTCCGTTCGAATCTTAGCGCCCGTCTGGGTAAGTAACCTTCACCTTGCAGAAAAGCACACAACCTTTTGGTGGTGTTGTGTTTCTGTAGGTGAGTAAGGTACCTTACGGTTAGGGCTCCACTGGGCAGGGGATTGGGTCAGGATAGGCAACGGCGTGATTGATATTTTCGGTAAATATTGCAAAAGTCTGTAGGTTACGGTGACTGTTTATCATCAGACGGGCCATTTAATTGTTTGCCACCTTTTGAACAAAAAAAAATAAAATACATAAAGCATTTGAATAATCTATTCTATAATATAAAAAATGAATCACTGAATGTGTTTTTTAGCCCAAATCTCGAGAACAGCTGAACGGATTTCGATAATTCTTTTTTTAGAATATTCCTTGTAGTACAAGGATGGCTCCTACGCAGAGAAAAAATTGCCTAAAAAGTCCAAAAACAACACTTTTCTATACTCCCATAAAAACGATTCGTAATAATACTTGAAAGTCAATTTGAACTTTAATACTAAACCATTTTCAAATGTTAGTGGAGAGAGGAATACCATTTTCAAATGTTAGTGGAGAGAGGAACCTTCCGCGAAGGCAAAACAATTGAGTGACGTGATATCAATAGAAGTTTGGAAATTTATTTTCATTTTTTTTTTATAATTATATGAAGAGTCATTTTAGTCTACACTACAGCTCTACAACGAAGTGAAGCGAGGGCGGGCCACTAGTATATAATATTTGTTGAGTGAGTATGATTGACTTGAAGTAAAGAAAGGAATTAGTTGATTCCTTAGAAAATATTTCTACCGATCTGAGAGTCGAAGCCTCAGCCTTACTTTTAGATAAATGTATAACATGAAAATATTCTGTACACTACTGCTCTTCTTAGTTTTAGTACTTAACAACTTAATTATTAAATTGTAGAAATCCATTATTGGTAACGTGTGCTCTCCTACTGTTATTCGGATATGATTGCTATTTGGTGGTGGACATTCAATATACAATTTGAATATGCTAATTTAGTGTCAAGATACTCATACTTAAGCAACAGAATAAATAAATAGTTAAACTTAGAAATAAATGGTGTATTGTATAGTCCACTTCCTTGCCCTGCATACTAAGTACCTGCCCACGGGAAAACTTGAGAGCAGACGATTTTAGTGGATTAAAAACTTATAAACTCAAAGTAAGATATTCGTCTGAGAAGAACAATTAATTCTAATGCTTTATATATATACTCGTACCAGTACCTAACATATAGTTGACACGATTGCAGGGTATTGCGTTGCGACATGTATTGGAATAATGAACCGACTGGATTTTGTAACAAAATACTTACACACTGATTTCAAACAACCTTCGCTGTCAGTTAAACCTGTTAGCCAAGGTACGGGATAGATTTCATCCTTTATGTCCCGGACTTGTTTGGTTAAGAAAGCCCCTGGCAGGTCGGGCTCAACCACGGCTTTGAACGGTGTCATAGGCTCATAGTCCCATTCCTAAAATCAATAAGAATACGTAAGACAGATTGAGAGATTCATCAACTTCAAAAAAATCATAACTTGATGTCGCCATCTTAAAGATACGACCGGTACAATGTAGTGAATGAAATTTTCTTTGATATTGACTTCACATAAATAACTTATAATGATAGATCTATTTTTTGGTATTTTCTCTCTACATTCGGAAGACCTGTGGTAACTACTCAGCTGGTCACAGTCATATCTACTAATACAATCGCTGTATCTGTTTCTCATTTGTACCTATAACACAAATGTTTCAAAGCAGAACGTGTGATGTTTTATAATATTTACGAGTAATAAAGTGCCGTACCCTTAATAAGAACCATCACCGAATTCGAATAGTTTGCGATTCCGAAATGTCATTGACAAATTATGTATATGAAAACTTCAACAGTTATGTATATTTTAAGCACCATAACGTACGTAACGAGAATAACGTACGTAACGAGAGCTAAAAATCAGTACACTTTTGACAATGATATTTCGTACTCGCAAACTATTCGAATTGAGTACCTCTAGCACGAAGCTAGAGATACTGAATTTCCCTTAAAATAAAGTAAAGTAAGTAGTGGATGTAGTGAATCAATGAAATTAATGGATAAATAACACGAACATAAAACCGGTATTCCGTATTTATTAAATCGTAGCTGTCTTTAATCCGGAGACACTCGATAAGAGAATTCGAATCATCACTTTGGCATCCCACGAATTCACCGAGAAGGTAGGCATTTCGTTCTGCCTCTCCGGGAGCTTGCTCCGCCCAGGGGACCATAGCCGTTCCCGATTCAGATATCGCTCTGTGATATAGGCCTGAAAACCAAATGATTATTATATTTAAAACATTGATGAAATTGTTATTTTATTAACTTTTTCTTTGTGATAATTATTTATTTCGCTATTTTATCAATCTCGTCCATATGCCGTCCATTGAAAGAAGGAAGAACTTAAGTATACACCAGAGACAGAAAATTTTGTTATAATAATTCCAAACCGGTTAAGTAAGATATACTTGAAAAAAAAAACACGGCACGTAGCAGGGGGAAAGAAACATTTTATTATCAAAATAATTATAATAATTTTAGGATAGGCTCGTTTCCTAAGTAAGATTATTTTTTTTACCAGCACTGGTTTTCGACAGCATGTGATAGTGTGCACTTGCACCGCCAGCACTCTCTCCGAATATCGTTACAGAGCTTTTATTACCACCGAAACTCTCTATCGTCTTTTGAATGAATCGCAATGCTTCTTGCTGATCTTTCAAACCATTGTTACCAGGACAATGCTCGTCTCTGGTGGAAAGGAAGCCAAGTGGACCTAGAAATTAACCAGTTAGCATTACTATTTTATAATTATTAAAAATTATTGAAGGCATTTTAAGGCCTACTTGCACCAAAGTTCTTAATTAAAATTAAGGCTTAAAATTTGAAATGAGAACTTTGGTTTCGTGAAAGTGGGCCTAAGTAATTAATCGATTTACCCAATCTATAGTTTGTGGTTACAAGAATGACATCGTGATCTAGAAGAAGCTCGGGGCCGTACATTGTGGTGCTAGAGTCTCCACACATCCAACCTCCACCGTGGAGGAACAGCATTACCGGCAACGGCTTGCTAATTTCCAACAAATCCTAAAATATTATTAAGGTGAGGTATGTTAAAGGTCTCTATTACTGACGAAAAATGATATACCTATCGGATATCCCGTTTCTGATACACAATAGCAGTGAGTAACCAACGGAGACTGACCAACAAAATCACCTCTGAGGAATTATAATTACTATACATACAGTACAATTGTAAATAAAATAATTTAACGTGTCGATAGTAGGGTTACCAACTTTTATTCTATCAAATATAGTATTTTCGAAGCTGTTTCCTCTAAAATACAGTAGATGGCAAAAATATGGAAAAAATATCGTATGTGGTTAAAATAACTACTTTATTTTTAAAATGAATATAATTTTGCTCTTCCATGCTTTAATAATATTTTTATTATATATTAGTACCATTATGTATATCGTCTCTTGTAAATCATAATCCCACATAAAAAACCAAGAAACTAATTAGCCACCACGGCTTCACAGCAGTAGCTTTCATATTTCATCGTTTTAAATACAGAGGTCCAAGCACGAATTTTGACAGCTCCGTTAATCGTATCGTCATCGTCAAATTTTGTATTAAAAAAGTTAGTTACGTACGATACTTATAGCTTCTTAGTTTGTCAAAATTCATGCTTGGGCCTCAGAATAAAACATTTATTTCTTAGTTCTGTGGTTTTAATGCTGTAGGAAGAGCATCAATCAAGCAGTTTCGTTTTCAAAAACTCACATTACTCGTGAATGGTGTGTAAACGTTAAGATACAAGCAATCTTCTTGGCCCACAATCTCTTTTTGTCGTATATAGGGATTTCTTTGAATACATAGTGGTATCGCCTTGGTCGCATCCAATTCTTTCGACCATGGCTCGATAGGTACAGGTGCCTGTAAACAAAAAGTTTGTGATTACGTTACAGTCGTTAAAAAATATTGTAATCAACGCATATTTTAAGCTTTTACACATTTATGTCAAATACACGCAGATCTAAATATTAAGTACCTACCTAGGTCCTATAAAATTCTAAGATCAGCCTCTTGATTCGCAATAATTTCGTGGATCGAGGCATAAAATAAATAAAGAAGGAATATAATAAAACACAAAAGCAGTTTTGTTGCTATTATTCTAGTATAAAGAAGTAAGTAATTTTTGAATAGCTAATTATTTATTTGCTATTGTTGTGATCCAAAAGGATAACTTAAATATGATTAGCATAATATGGAGTGACTTCCTAATAGAGAACAAGAAACTGTAAGCAAATGTTCATCGAATTAATAATAATAATAATAAAACTGGCGTATGTATTCATTGTAATAATGTTTTATGTGAGCGACTAATAAATATTCACAATCAAAATAATCACTGTTACGTATTGGCTCTGTCAAGGTAACATACAGACCAAAAAACAAATCTTCAAGGATATAAAAAACACATCGAATTACAATATTGTTTGATGATGTGATGCCAGCCTGAGTAAAGCATTAATTTGATTTATTTAAAGTTTTAAGGATAAATACCTAAATCTTATTGTGTATGTTTATGAATTAGTTGTTTTACCTACAAATATTTGATGTGAGGCTGCATTGAACTTTACTTTGTTCAATAAAATTACACACTAGTGGGTGCCCACGAAAGGTGCTTAAAATATACATAATGAACAAACCTTACATAATTTAGAAAATAAAAAGGTTTAAGTACTCGTACCCAATATTAGGTATTTATTTATAATGAGAAACGCATTCCTTTAATTTCATCAAGTAAAAATATTAAACTTTGGTTACTGGCAAATCATGTCAATGCGACGGGCCACAGCAAATCGGGACTTTTCCACACACATCTTAGTGGGTAATAAAAGTAAACATCAGAGTTCCTCATTTCGAATAAGCATTATGTAAAGTTTTCCTTATACCTTTCCTGTTTTACCTGGCAGTGGTGCTGCATAGATTTTATATTAATTTGTGATTATAATACTATTTTATTCAATTTTTTACCATAAATGTACCAATGTAAGTAAGTAGTTGTACACTGCACAAGCTTCATGTCTATAAAGCACCAACTCATAATCTCTGTATCTGTGTCCAGGTCTTGCGATCACAATCACAATATTATTTACCCAGTTTTTAAGAGTACTAAATAATCATTTAATGCTTTACCTAACAGACATGCATACACGTTGTATGCGAAGGTAAGTACCCAAGACAGTCTTACATTTCAACATTTTTATGTAACTAATAATGCATGGAGCATGCTAATGTAAATATACCTCGAATACTTTTGATACGAGAAACTAACTTTTTATGAGTCTTCCTAGCCGGGCATTGACCACGTTGTTCAATCTGGTATTGTTAGATGCAAAGGTATAACAATGCCTAAGCTAAGTACCGATGATGCTTTTTCTAAACCGATTTTTTTTTTCTTCTTTAACTTTAGCCTCCTAGCATGAGCACCTCGATATGATATTATATTTTTTTTTCCATACTGAAGAGATTGACAGTTACACTAGAGCTCATGCTAGAGACAATACCAGAGAAAAAACATACTAGAGAAAATTGCGTAAATCACACAAACTAAATGCGATAACAACTATAATAGTGCAGTCATTGAAACGAAAAATACGGTCTTACCTCCGAATTTTTTTACTGTGAACCGATTTGCATGAAATTTTGGAATTAGGCTCATCTTACCCTTAAGTTCAAAAGTGAAAATGATCTGAACTCCGCCTATTATTTTTAAGGGGTGTAAACAACCCCTTAATGGAAAAATTTACATTGAGCCATTTTATCGCTAGAAAACATGTCTAATAGTAAGTGGTGAAATTGTAAAGTATTTTCTAACATAATTACCTCATATTAAAATAATTTTCAACCCCTTGAAAATCTTACAACCCTTGCAAACAACCCCTAAATTGAAAAAATCACAAAAGAATACTTTGGTATGACATAAAAAGATAAGTAAGTAAGTATAGTATAGAGTAAGTAATATTTTATATTCTCTATTATAATTATCAAATTTTTAACTCCCTTTTAACCCATGAAAACTACCCCTTGATAAAAAATTGTTAAAAATTTTTTTTTGATAAAATGAAAAGGATTTAAATATTATTCCCCACTCTCGAAAATGATTATCATTTATTATTATTCTTAAGCTTTTCTACCCTTAAAAGTAGCCCTAAATTAAAACAGTAAATATATATGATTACATATTTATACACATTATAACGAATAAACGGAGCACGCACAGCTGATCACATAGCTTTTTCGTTGGCCCCTTCACTCAAATGTGTTATATATACATATAAGAACGTTGGTATGTATTCATGCCTACGTTTCCAAAATATATGAGCCATATTATGTATATATATACACATTACAATAGTTGTGGGTCTCTATATACTGTGTACTTTCACATTACTCCAAATATTCACACTCCGAAATTTTCAGTTACTAAGTAGAAAAAAATATGATAAGTTTTTGGACCATAACTCCTTCAAGTTTCGTGCTATCACAATTTATAAAAAAACCATTGTAAAGGTAATTAAGAGAGCTACAACATCCTTCTTTGCAATATATAGTAAAAAACCTTTTTCTAAAACGGTGAAGGGTTAAAGGGCTTAAGAGAGGCTGTGATTGTGCTGCCACGCGCTCTTTAAACAATCATATCTCCGTCAATTTTTGTTTGACAGAAAAAACAAAAAAACCAAATTGTTTGTCAGAAAAATACCTAAATTTTTAATCCGTACACTTTTATACGTATCTGTCGTCATTTTTGAGAAATTATGAAAAAAAGTGGGTTTTTTAAAAAAATTAAATTTTTGTTTTTTTTAATCGTGACTTTTTTGAAAAATATGTGTCCTGAAGCAGCCAAAATGATACTATCTATCAAACTCTTCATAATAAAGTTAATTCTAGGCGGAATACGATTAATTTTAATTTTGGTGGAAATGGCACTTAACCCATTGATTTAAAAGAAAAAACTATAGATGCTCCCCTTATTTGCAATACAGCTCACTTATTGTACGTGCAAAAGACTTTTAATAGTGCTCATTTTAAAGCTTATTTCAAGCACTACAAAACCCTTTTGTATTAAAATGCATAAAATGCATCTGCTCGCCGCTAGATGGCATTGACCACATCGATTAAATTTCAGACAAAATAAAAAACGGCTTTGTTCTTTAATATCTAGCTTAATAAGTATTGCATTTAGAATACTTTATAAAAAACCAAATTGTTCATTGTTTTACCTGCTACCATTTTGTTCTTGATAAAATTTTCAATAAAACGTATATTTTTGGAGATATTTGCAAAAAACCGATGAAAAACGTGAAAAAATTGCGAATTTTTTGCCAATAACTTGAAAAGTATTGGATTTTTTGAAAAACTTTATAGATGATTTTTTGCTTAAAATTGGGCTTTCTATCGATATCCGAGGTTATTTTGAAAATAAAAATTCACCCCCGAGACCCTTCTCGGGGGTGAATTGGGTGGTTGCCAACCCTGTGGCAAACACCCCCAGGGTGGTTGGGAGTTCAAATCATTTTCACTTTTGAAGTTAAGGGTAAGATGCACCTAATTCCAAAATTGTATGCAATTCGGTTCACAGTAAAAAAAATCGGAGCGAAAATGCTTCAATGACTGCACTATAAAGAAATGACACTGATGCCTAAACAGTACTATCATATCTATCACTATTTATTAACGGTAACACCTGTCATAAAGATTATTTTGTATTGTGTCGTGCGATATTTTCCAATTGGGTTTCCAAACAAAGTTCTATTTCTTAACGTCAATCCAGTTTCTAAATGACTTGTTTTTAGATGATAACCAAAAAATAGAACTGTCTAACTAACCTTAGGTTTGCAATGTAATTTTTTTGGTGATTATTCAAATATTATAGTTATTTTATGTTATTCACGGGATTGTTACTATGTACCTTGTTTTTAGCGAGCTTCCGATATTTATTTATTTATATGCGGGTAGGCTGTTATTGGCAGACATATCGGTCTACCCTCCCACGAAGTCTTTTACCGCGTTCGATACCCGTACCACTGTTCACATTCTCACTATTCACTCGTAACGGTTCTCGACACACAACACACAATATCGGAAACTCGCTAGAAACAAGGTACATGGTAACAATCACGTAAATAACATGAAATATTATAATGTTAGTGACCATGAAAGTTTAAAACACTGTATCTTTCAAATACTTTTCTTTTTATATTATTCATTGAACAATTGATACCCAGTAGGAAGATTTTTTTTTTTTGACATATTACGTACAGGTTTGCATAATCAAAATATTTACTGGAATTAATCGACTATAAAAACTAACCTAATTATCCAAGAATCGTCATTCAAAACAAGTTAACGAACAGGCAGTGTTGAGTATAATTAACAATAAAAATTATAGATTTATTAAACTTTAAACGAACAAGCGATTTAATGACATCGTGCCGCGGCGCCATACCTATGTAATACTTAGATACTCAATATATTAATGTTAGGTAGTTACAATATTCACTACTTAATATTCATTAAGAATATAGATTCAATTGTAAAAAAAAATAAACACTAATGTCGCACAAGTTAAGTTTTGCGAAAATAGTTCAAGGTTATAACGTTTAACGAACAAAATAATTAAATAATGTATAAAAACAAAGTAACTACAAAGTGTTTTATGATTACAACAAAGAAGACTACAAGGATAAAACACATATTATATTATTAACTAAAGTATGTTTAGAGAGGTGGGGAAAAGATACCGTAATTATATATCCAAAGTAAAGGGAAATCCAAAAAACCAATGTATAAATTACGGAATGCTTAAAAAAATCATATTCCAAGTTTGATATATTATTTTCTTAATTATCTTATCAGGATGTCTCATTTTTACAGCTCTTTCACCAACCCTGAAGTCATTTTGAAGTCGTTGAGGAGGCTGCTTCCCATTTTATTAAAACGCTGTATTTAAGAATCATAACAAAATGTATTTTAAAGATTTTCTAAATTTCTAAGACACATTTGATATGGTATTAAAAAAACAGCGTTTCCCAAAATCTAAATAAACATTCGGATAGGGGCATATTACAGTTTTCCTAAAGGAACCTCTACAAAAACTTGATCAGGTTATTTTAGTTTAATTTAAAATAAAATACGTCTCATTCTTAGAGCTATCGATTAAGGAGCACAAACGAAGGAACGCATTCCCCGTGTCATAATCATAAGAGCTGTTCCTGGCACCAAGATGCCATTTATTTGAATATGAATAATAAATATATTCGATTAGAGGAATTGTTTTGGCTTTCTCTCCTCCATTAAAATGCTTTCCATCTTATCTAATCTCAAATATAGGAGCTATTATATTGCATGAACCTTAGAAATAAGTGGTCAGTCAATATCTGACGAATTTACTTTTGGGTGTTGAAGGAAGCATAGATTTCCATATTTAGAAGGATAGATAGAAACTGGTTTGATAATAGCAGACATCACTACACGGCCACAATGTCAGTGTTACTTAACAATATTTATACACACATACTTACCTAAATCAAACATGGACGTGGGTTAGTAATAACGGTAACTAAACATCTAATGTAAAGGGACGTGAAAAAGGAATTATTTAAATGATAGGAGACAACATATGACAAAGACATAGAGCTCTAAACCATTTAAAGTACTTAATTCATTTCGCTAACAGCAATTAATAATTATAATTTTTATTTTTTAAGCATGTAACCGCTCGATGTATAAGTCTAAAGAAAATTTTACTAGAAAAAAAAATCCACGCGGACCAGGCAGCAAACGGGACGGAAGTAATTAATAAATTAATTCGCAAGGCGAAAATCATACTAAGAAGAAGACGTTCAATCTATATTACATTAATACAGGTATTTGATTGACTCACGTTAAATATTGTAAATAAATGGATTTGTTTCATCTTAGACGTCATACAGGGCCACCAAAATATAATAACTCAGTGATCAACATAGACTTTACTTACTTTACACCAATGTTAAAATTCTATTTTAAATTATGAAAAGATTGCTTACCTTAAATCTTAAATTTCCAAGAGGTGGCAAAGCAAATGGTATAGACGTAAACGCAGAAATAGTCTTGCCCGATCGTGTTTTCATATGATAACCGCGTATCTGACCAAGCGGTGTATTTACCACTGGATGCAATTCACATCTAACGTTGTAACATAAGAATAAGACCACAACAAAGAAAGCGTAACACGTTCGTAAGAGCTCATTGTACACCATATTTTTTTCTATTATCGTCCCGCGCTTATAACAGTCGGCTTGTATTAAGTAACACTGTATAATGGCCCGCGTCGAAAGCCACAACCAAATGATCATGAGGCTTTGGCCTCCGGTTTTTATATATAGCATACGGTACATTGAGGTAAATCAACTTCATCAAACCTTCCGCTTTCGTATAAACCAAGCAAAAAGACGAATCACTGTTGGGAATTAATTAAACAAAAGAAAAGACGATTAAAATAATTTCCTATTAGTAGATTATAAGATAGTTTTTTTTTAATTATGTTCACAATAGATGGCAGGTATCAAAACAATTTCATTCATATGTAGAGGATAAATGAAAGAAAATATTGTTTTATGAAAGTAAGAATCAATGATAAAATATGCTACAGTTATTTTCCCGCGCCATGAATGAATGAGGATAAATAACGTTTTACTGATGATTATTAAATTACTAAGGATTGCATGACGATGAGATGCAATCAAATGAATATTCACCGACTAGAATTTATTTTATAACCATAATTTGTATACCTATTCAAATCGATGGTCTCTAATTCTGGTCGGATCATAATATTAGGTATATTATACATAAGTTCACGCTATAAAGCTCTTATAAAGGGTTAGCAGAACCTCAAACTTAAAAATAAAATACAGTCTAGTATATGTCATCAATATATCATTCATAAAAACCTCTAAAACAATACTGACAAATTCCCAACCTATCGCCTACAATACTCACCCATCATAATAGTAGAAAATCAGAATGCGCATGAATAAACGTGATACAAGCAACCAACGACGTAGTTTGTTATATTAGAACACACTAATGACATGGTTGATTGAATGTGGTTCTCTGAGGTAAAGAAAAAGTTGGCATAAGAGAAAAATGAGATTAAAAAGCTGCATAAATTACAATGACCAGATTATCCCGTTCCTTCTTGATACGGAAATTATCATCTACATTCTACATAGCAACTGGAGAATAATACAAATCATTGATTTGCAGTAAACAAAAGTGTAGGGATTGGGCGGAACCTCTTTCTATGTTCTGTGGGCGGAATGCTGAGGCTCAACGGATTTTACTAACATGAACCGTAAAATACAGTTCTTAAGACACTATTTCTACTTGGTTCATGATATGCTTCGGGCCTCGAGCAAGTAGAGCATTTCTATACTGGATAATAATAATAATCATTACCTTTTCATATAGGTGTACAGAGGTGTTACGTGGCATTCATTGAGATCCTTACACGAACCCGGTAAAGGCATATCAATTTGCTTTAGAGAGCTTGTTTATTTTTTATAAATACATGTAAATTTAAATACATCAAAAAAAAACTTCCCTATCAATAAAATAAACAAAATTGTATTAATTTTATCAAAATTTCATATCATAAAAATTATATTACTAAATAAATTATTTCACATTAAATTAATAACAAACATTATTTAATTCATTGTCATTAAAATACTCTTGCAGTGTATAAGTAAGTACTTAGCCCTTATAACAACGGAGCTTTTCCAATTTGTTTTTAAACCCAGTCAAACAACTCTCATTTTTTAAAGACAATCTGTTGTATATTTTGACACACATTGCAAAAGGGATACTTTGGAGCAATTTGAGTTTAGATATTGGTAGCGCCAATTTGCTATAGGGGCGTAAGTTATGCGGGCGCGAGTAAATAGGAAATTCTTTTAAATGATTTTTAACGTAATTACATACTTCCAAAATATAAATACATGTTACCGTTAATACCTTGTACTGTATGAAATAAGGTCTGCAGCTTTCCAATTTTAATTTAAATTAAATTTTTCGGGGATAACAACACTAGCGATCTCAAAAAGAAGTATAACTTGGCTTCCAGGTCCTGCAAAAGAGTAATTGCCAGAGCGAAGTCAGAGCACATTAGCAGCATTGGCGAGAGATTAATAAAACTTCCCTCTGGAATCCGCGCGTTTTGATCTCTTGCCAAGGCTGTTGAAGGAAATTTTTGTAAGCCATCCCTTCCACCCTTGCACAATGGCGACGAATCGATGACCCATACTGCAAAAGAGAAAGCGGATCTTTTATGCTCACTCTTTGCGTCTAACTCGACTCTAAATGACAGGGGATACATACCGCCGACCATCCCGCGGTGTGAGAGTTCTATGCCGGAGATCCGGTTCACACAAAGCTTAGTGTGTAATGCACTCTTTTCCCTAGTCATCCACGAGTCGAGCGGGCCTGATGGAATCTCACCAATTGTGCTGAAGACGTGTGCTCCTGAGTTGGCTCCGGTACTAACGCGTCTTTTCCGGCTCTCCTACTCTTTAGGTGTCGTTCCGAACTCATGGAAGACAGCTTTAGTGCATCCGATTCCTAAAAAAAGGTAAATTTAAAAAATCAAAAAACCCGACTGCTTAATTATACTTCAAATAAAAACTGAAAAGAAAAAAAACAAGTCCAGTAGTCTATAATTCTGTAAATAAGGAACAAAGCTATTTTAACAGTTGGGACCCATCAGATATTCAAGAATACATAATATTTTCATCAGTGGGTCCCGACTGCTAAAGTAGCTTTGTTCCTTATTTACAGAATTATAGACTACTGGACTTGTTTTTTTTCTTTTCAGTTTTTATTTGAAGTATAATTAAGCAGTCGGGTTTTTTGATTTTTTAAATTTACCTTTTTTATTTCACACTTTTTAGTTAGTTAGTATTTTAAGACGGTATATACCGTAGTCTTGTTACTTCAGTAAGGGAATTAATATCGCGGGAATTATTAAGTACCTTGCGTCGGTCTAAAAGATTGATTTATTAAGACATATAGAGACTTTACCAGCGGGGTCAAGGCTACAGATGGGCCTCAATTTTCGCAAAAATGTGTGAAGTTAAATCAAGTCGTTACATAAATATCTCTAATGTATGTAAATTTTATAGTAAACTAGAACTTACTCAAAAAGTCATCTTTTGTTTATGTTTTTTTAGTAGTTGCTAGTTGTAGGTCGCTTTAGCGACCAACTTCATGCTGTTACTTTTGTGTTTACCGTACATTAAGAAAATCTACCAACAAAATAGAAATAGAATCTCTATCTAGTGGGTGCTAACGACTGCATTGTGAAGGCCTATCAAAAGTATTTATTAATTTATTAATCTGGAACCAAAGCGCGGTTCAGGAGGCTACAGCGCCATCTCTTGACCATTGGTGTAGTAGAACCAAAAACCACATCTTTATTTCTTGTAATAAAGTAACAGTTATAGGTATTCATATTTATAATATCAAAAGTATTTATAAATCTGGAACAACAGAAACAAAGCGCGATTCAGGAGACTACAGCGCTATCTCTTGACCATTGGTGTAGTAGAACCAAAGACCACATCTTTATTTTTTGTAATAAAGTAACAGTTATAGGTATTCATATTTATAATATTTATCCACATGTTTCTAGTTTGTATATTCGGAATACGTGTTTGAGTTTCATACAAGTGCAAATCACATATGTTCTAATAAATTATATTCAGTAGCGATTTTAATTGAATATTTTGATTATTTATTTATTTTTTCAAATTAAAACTGAACTTTATTGACTGTGTCCTTTTTCAGACTTTTTATTAATTTATTGTAATTAATTATTTGCATGCAATTAAAAACTAATTTTAAACGATGCGAAAGAAGGATAACTTCTCACGCGCCTACATAAGTACACGCACCCATTTTTTTAAATACATTTTGTCCGAGTGACATATGCTATATTTTATCCCGATAAATAAATTTCGCCCGTGCAATGCCCGGGTGGATCACTAGTAAGTATAATATAATATTATAGATGTGAAAGTGAGTTTGTTTGTTGCGCTTCCGTGCCCTAATAGCTAAATCGAATATAATGAATTCCCATATAGAAGTAGATGGGAACTTGGTTCTTAGCTACAACATCGCAATACTTATAGGGTGATGAAAGGGGTGATTTACCTATAAAAATCTACATTATTTACTTTGAATTTTTGCAGAATTATTACAAAACCAATATTATCGCGAGCTGATTAATAAATACAGGGATTCCAATAAGTATGTACTTACTAGCGAAAAATGGGTTGTTTGTCATTATATTAAGTAAACCTTTTTTGTAACATTAAGTAATATCGTTAAAAAAATGAAAAACAGTAAAATTCTGAGTTTGTCATTAAAACTCAATAATCATAAATACCTATTATGATAATATATTTTTCATAATTTAATAAGAAGGAACTGTATCACAGTTTTATTGTTAGTGCTTCGTATAGGATCAGATACTGCGAATAGCCCTTTTTTTTCTTTTACATACTACACCGCGCTATCACTTTGTCATCGTTGTAACTTTTTAAATATTTGTCGAAATGACATAGTGTAAAAAGCAAAGTTTATCGTCTTTAAATATCAAAAGCGATAAAAGTATTTGTTTTGATAAAAAATGATTTGTTAATACAAAATGTGCATTTTGGAAATAGATATCAAATAATATTTTAGTTTTGATTCACTATTTTAGCGGTAATGACTTACACATTAAAAATAGATATATGGTGTCACGGACTTTTTTTTAGAACTATTTAAGAGATACATTTTCACTCTACATTACATTCATGTAACTTTTATTGTTTTTGCAGTGCAGGCCAAAATGGCTCGCAGATGGGAGATTTTTTTCCGTCTTATGTGACACTTATTGTTATATATTGGCCAATTCACTCAATAACTACATAAATTATTATATATATGTAATTATCATATATGAGCTATATTACTGTTAAGTTTCATTAAAATTCATTCAGTATTTTTAGGTGAAAGAGTAACAAAGATCCATACAAACGTCAGATTGAAATTAAAAGCGTAAGTGGTTAATATACAACTTTAAAGCGTTGTAGATCCTGAACGTTCATATTAAACGAAAAATGGTGTTAGGAACCTAAATATGATTTTTGATTATCTAGACAGTGATACCCCACTCGACATATTTTGTCAACTTATTTTTTTTTACTTCGTCACAATATGGCGCCTAATTTTGCCCATATTGAATTTTGATTACTATCATATCTTTAGTAGCACTCCCATGATTGAGACAAATCGATTGATGTATGAATCATCAAAATTGGTCCAGGCGTTTGGTCTCTAGTGTGCCACAAAGGAACAAACATACATATATAGACTGTTAAACACATAACCCTGTCTGCGCGTCGCGCTTCGCGCTCTTGCATTGCGCAGCCGGGTAAAAAGGCGACCGCTCACTCCCTACTAATTATAGGCCTATAGCCATCACCTCCTTGCTCTCCAAGATAACGGAGTCCATTATAAATTGCCAGCTCCTGCGGTACCTAGAGGACCACCAGCTGATCAGTGACCACCAGTACGGTTTCCCTCAGAGTCGCTCGGCTGGTGATCTACTAGTATACCTGATCCATCGTTGGGCAAAGGCGATCGAGACCAAGGGGGAAGCATTGGCGGTCGGTCTGGATATCGCGAAGGCCTTCGATCGGGTTTGGCACAAAGCGCTTCTTTCGAAGCTTCCTTCTTATGGGCTTCCTGAAAAGCTGTGCGTTTGGATCACTAGCTTTCTTGCGGACAGGAGCATCAAGGTCGCAGTCGACGGTGCATGCTCGGAC